TACAAATACAAACATCATAGAAACTTATACAAATACATACATCATAGAAACTTATACAAATACAAACATCATAGAAACTTATACAAATACAAACATCATAGAAACTTATACAAATACAAACATCATAGAAACTTATACAAATACATACATCATAGAAACTTATACAAATACATACATCATAGAAACCTATACAAATACATACATCATAGAAACTTATACAAATACATACATCATAGAAACTTATACAAATACATACAACATATAAACTTATACAAATACATACATCATAGAAACTTATACAAATACAAACATCATAGAAACTTATACAAATACATACATCATAGAAACTTATACAAATACATACATCATAGAAACTTATACAAATACATACATCATAGAAACTTATACAAATACATACATCATAGAAACTTATACAAATACATACATCATAGAAACTTATACAAATACATACATCATAGAAACTTATACAAATACATACAACTTAGAAACTTATACAAATACATACAACTTAGAAACTTATACAAATACATACAACTTAGAAACTTACACAAGTACATACAACTTAGAAACCTATACAAATACATACGCCTGTCTGTTTTAATAACTGTTTTACTAGTTGATTATATTACTTAATACTATATGACATATCCTAAAATAACGGTTAGGTAACGCCATTTTTAATTGGATAATTTGATCTAATCTTCAATATATGAATTCCAACGCTAGCCCAAATATTGCTGCCAACTTTCCAGTTGAGGTAAATGTTTGACATCGACATTGAAGAAATTTATTATAACGATATACTTAAATGTGCCATCGGAATGTGGAATGGCTGTAACGAAGAACATCTTTGTGACATATTCCGACTCACTTTTTCACCGCTTCAAGAGAGTTTGTCAGTAATTTCAGAATGCCAATAAAGACGATGACCGTTACTGTAGGTGATATTCTCAATCCAAGGATCAACGTATGTTAAAAATATCACAAGGAAATGAAACAATATGACACGGTATTGTCATTCTATAGTGAACGATACGTAAATCCCCATTTCCATTTGAAAGAAACATACAACTTCTGATGAGTCTCCCGTCACGATCTCTCAATAGCACAGGGATAGAAAAGCAAAAGGATGTGAACTATTTGTATTTATGTATTATATCTCCCTGGAAGTTTGACTGTATTGCTAAATATCAAAAACCCATGTATACTGAGATTGTACCTGTGAATAATTTATTATATAATGAAGACACATACCTGAATAATGAGTAAATGACAGACAAGGCTAGAACCCTTGACCTTAACTATTCCAAAGGTGTCAAAATCAGTCGAGCATAACGATTTTAAGATATTTCTGTGAGGTTCATTGCACACAACATTTACCATACTTTGTAGATTAGTGTGCCTCTTTTGTGTCGCCATACACAGACAATGGAGGATCTTTTGATGGGCCCAAACTAATTATAGTTAGGCCTAGAAAGTTAGGCCAATTATAATCAAAACGTCTGTTCGACAATTTTATATTTGTACATAAAGAACTTGTACAAGTAAATGTTGTACTTATAACTGTCATACTTATAACTGTCTCGTATTTTCAGACTTGTAACTATCATATTTATAACTATCATACTTGAAACTATCATATTTATAACTATCATACTTGTAACTATCAAATTTATAACTATCATACTTGTAACTATCATATTTATAACTATCATACTTGTAACTATCATATTTATAACTATCATACTTGTAACTATCAAATTTATAGCTATCATACTTGTAGCTATCATATTTATAACTATCATAATTGTAACTATCATATTTATAACTATCATACTTGTAGCTATCATATTTATAACTATCATAATTGTAACTATCATATTTATAACTATCATACTTGTAACTATCATATTTATAACTATCATACTTGTAACTATCATATTTATAACTATCATACTTGTAACTATCAATTTATAACTTATACTTGTAACTATCATATTTATAACTATCATACTTGTAACTATCATATTTATAACTATCATACTTGTAACTATCATATTTATAACTATCATACTTGTAACTATCATATTTATAACTATCATACTTGTAACTATCATATTTATAACTATCATACTTGTAATTATCATATTTATAACTATCATACTTGTAACTATCATATTTATAACTATCATACTTGTAACTATCATATTTATAACTATCATACTTGTAACTATTTTATATTTTCAGACATGTAACTATAATATTTATAACTATCATAATTGAAATACTGGTCTATTTCAAACTTGTACCTATCATACTTTTAACTATCATATTTATGACTGTCATACTTGAAATAATCTGGTCTATTTCAAACTTGTAGCTATCAGACTTACGAATAGAGAAAATACAAAGATATAGAGTAAGTTGAATTGCCAAGACTTATCAAGCAGGATAATTCCATAGTCATTTCATTGAAGATATTTACCCACTTCATTTCCACTTAACCGACAATTAAATTTAGGATTGTTTTCTTTCAGTTATTTATTTATTTGTATATTCATTACTCACCACATGACATGTATAGATCTTTAACACCACTATATTATACGACTAAAATGTCCATAACATATTTATGTTTAAACTGTATACATGTGATATAGTGACTAAATAGGTAGCTTCATACTGAATCACTAACACCAGTTTTCATTTTTGTAAAGCATGTATTGTCAATGATGATTTGTCGATACATAGGACGCATTTCAATCTGCTGGTAAGCTCCTTCCAATAATTCTTCTGTTTGGTCATGCTGCCATAGTGTCTTCAACAGGATTGCCTACCACGTATCCTATATCTCCTTGATGTGTATTACGCAATTACACATAATCTATTTCATACAACTGAAGGTGCCAATATAGGTAATGTGAAACACTAACAGATATGATAAGCTGTATACAAGATACTCACACCAGACAACACAAAGCCCTCTTTTGTGAGCACACTCAAAGACAAAGCGTGCACAGTTCCATATCAATTTAGTTTCGGGTTGACAATTTAGAATGCAATTTGAATTTTCTTGAATTACGACAAACATCTAATATATTATTAAGCCATTGTTGTTTGCTATAAATACACCGATCAATAGCGCGTCGGCAAACCGTTCTCTTTGTTTAATAGTTTATAGAGAAGGCCTATTCTACGCTAGGATTTAACTTCCTTATCAACCAGTTTGCGTACAATAATTCATGACACCGGTGTATTCTGCATTCAAGAGACACCATGTCAGTTTTAAAGTAGAAGTTCAATGATGGTGCGTCATACCTACTAGTGGTCTTAAATATGACGAAGTGCTTCCTTCATACTGGATCCTGGGCAAACCGTTTATATTTACAATCATGTAACATGTAAACAGTTTAAATCGACATAGAAATGTTTCATAATAATATGTGTTTTTCTTAAAAGCGGAGTAGATTTATCGCTTTTTTTGCATGTAAGTATATTTATGATTGCTTGTGTCGTATCATATCTGTATGATATAGCAGACTTCATTGCTTTGCTATATATTACGTCAATTTGTATTGAAAAGTCTTTTAACAATCTGTTAAGCTTTCAACCTTTTTCCAGGGTATTTTGATTAACTACTAATATTTGATAATTGTTGCAATGGAGTTTTTAAAAAACCACTTTATAAAACATAAACAAATATTGAAAGGGAAATTTTTATCGAATGCACTCTCTTTCCTTGTCATCCCTTGCCACTCCATTTTCCGGAAATTGAAGACCTGTTTGTTCAGTATTTGACGTAATTGCTAGACTCATCAATGCGATTGATATCAATTGTAGTGTAGGATAAGTAAGTAAATAGTGAGAGAGATCTGTTTCGTTTAAACGCCTGCAAGCAAATCGTTGTTTAAGTTTTGCGATGTACTAGTCTGCCAAAGTTTTAAAAACTAGGGTCTCGGTTCTGTTTATGTGCACCATGATAATTCATAGACCTTGTCGGTATATCACAAAACCTTGCATACAAAAATGTCATGTGGCTCATTCTTATTGTTATTGTGAAGGTACATCATGAACAACAAAGGAGTAGACTTTATTTATAAAACAACGTGTATTGATTTGATCATTAACGGAGGAAGAGTGATAATTTATCCTTAAAACGGTAATGTTTCCATTCACTAAATCGCTTGGTTGTGCAATTGTTTTTGTAGCCATGTTCATAAGCTACGCCTCTGTTTTAATTGGCAAGGATACAATACATACATAGACTATCTGTGTTTGTAGTATATAATTGCCTTGTTACTTATTTACATGGATATGTATATGAACTAATCACAATCACGTGATCAGTGGTTTTGACCTTGTAGTATTTTATTACAAATATCACCAAAGAGAACCTTCATTTTTTAAAAATAATTGGCTCTAATTAGATAGATTTTTTTTTTCAGCGATTTATGTTTGTTCTGAGCATGCACCCAGTAAGGAACTGCCATATCGCATTTCAAACAAACATAGAGATACGTGCCTCGACGCTGTCGAAGAGTTGAATTATTTATTTATGATGAATTCATAAGCGATTGTAATACTTATATAAACCAAGTAAGAAAATTAAAAGGAGAATTGAAATTGAACTTGTATGGTTTTAACAGGTCATGATTTAACTTATTTAGGTATTGAAAACGAATTCCTTATTATCACTATGGTTTTTTATTAAGCAGACAAAAAATTCTACCGGAAACGAGTTATCGAAAATATTGATAATATACTTGTGTAAGGTCACGACGAAATAAGACGTATGCTGTTCCTCATGTTTAATTTCTTTATTAAGAAGACTCATTTTCGTTTATATTTCCAAAATGCTTTTATTGTTGTAAGACTCGATAACTATTCCTATCACTCAATATGAACAAAAGATACCTTTTTCTGTAATCGATAAATGTATGAATGGTTATCATTGTAGGTTTTCACAACAGAGTGAAGTCATGACAACTGAAATACTGAAGACGTCCACCTCGTCTGTTGACAGCGGTTACTTAGAGGCTGTGGAGAGAGCAGATGAGTTCGATGATTTGTTTGATATAGCCGATCAGCTGGGCGTATCTACCGATAACCTAAATGAAATAGATGAGATAAAAGAACGACTGATTATGCATCTTACGCGCACAAAGGACGGCAATCCGAAGGACTTGGTAAGAATCTTTTTTTCATTGATTCCGGTACCTTGAAGAAATAATATAAAAGAGCTCTCATTTGTCGCCTAATTCAACGTATTTTTTCTTTTAAAAATGAACTTTCGTAAATCTAAACTATTTGTATGTTTATTCGAAACATACAAAAATAGTGAGGATGCTTGCCAGTTCAGGAATAAAAAGGTTTTGCTGATCTTCATAATATTTACTGAAAATAACCCTGGAAAATCAATTCATTTTTTTTTCTTATTTCGAAATGTGTGGGAAAAACTGAACGGGGAGGCCATTTTGTTGCGTCTTTTTCAATTGATGACGTAACATCATCGTATATATTATGACATCTCAATCGATTTCTGACTACCGTAAATTACTTAAGTGACATATGAAAACATGGATAAAAGACCGATTATGTTTTTAATAAGTTTAATTGAAATAAACATGTTGCTTTTTATCAACATGCATATATTTGTTAGTCTTGTTTCATTTTGTTATTTTCTTTCAGAATGCAAAGTCAATGGCAATTTCAAGTCAAGAGGACAAACACAAGCGCGATAAACTACTATCGCTTTTGTTAGATTTGAAAAAGGTTATGGATAAGTATCGAGACAGAAATCCCGGTGAACTGGTAGGGATAAGAGGAACAGACGCTATCGCAAGCAGCTTAAAAACAGAGGGAACCGTAGATGACCTCAGGAAAGAAACTGAAATGAAAATTCAGTCTCTACAAGAAGAAGAATGCCGATTTGTTGTAGCAGGTGGGTAGTTTTGCTTATACTCTTTTCAATGGTAATTTAATGGTTTATAACTTAATATATATAATCAATATTTGAAGGGATATAGGTGATCCGCAACCTTAACAAACAGTCGTTATTCTGGCCCAAACCCCTTTATATGGGAGAGAAAGTGATGCACATTTAATATCATTGATATCATAACACATGGTAAACTGAAAAGTTCATGGAATGTTAATTATCTTCTTATAATCATAAGATTAAAGTATAAAAATTAATAGAGGTGTCTCCCATAATTTAAAACTGATCAGTCTGCCAACATTTAATTTATGATTGTATGTATGTTATGTAAGTTTTGTATATGTGCAATGTATGTATGTGTGTGTGTGTGGGGGGTATGTTTAGGGGGAAGGGGTGCGTGTGTGTGTCTTTGTGTGTGTCTGTATATGGTGTATTATGGTTATGTCTGACCACCATGTTGTCCTGGGAGAAGACTTACACATGCTCTAGACTGGTGTCTAATCCTATTGATTATTTTTATCAATAAAATATTCTGAAATGAAAATAACCAAATTCTCAAAGTTAAGATAAAGCGCTATCAAAGTTATAAATATTTCAACTTTGATTCAATGATAATACATTTTTGTCATAATGATTTTGTAGTAAAATATAAACAAATATCATATTTCTGATATGTTTTTCCTTTTTGCCAATGACCCAAATACTAGTTTGCTCTATTATTAAACATTTTTAAAAAATAGGTCTTCCATAAACAAAAAGAAAAAAACAAACAAAAAAACAAAAAAAAAAAAAAAAAAAAAAAAAAAAAAAAAAAAAAAAAAAAAAAAAAAACAAAAAAAACAAACAAACAAACAAACAAAAAAATGACATTTGTTATGACTGATAATTAATCAAAGTTCAGCGGTTATGCGATTGGATTCAATGTAATATTTGGGGGAAATCTGTATTGTTTAACTCATTACAATTGCAAAATTCTGAGCAAACACATGTAGGGTAAACAAAGTTGAAATAAAAGGATATTGACAAACAATAGCTACATAATTGGACACTTGTTAAAATGAGTTTCTTGTAACTTTTAGGTGAAACCAGTGCTGGAAAATCTACATTGATCAATCTACTGTTAGGATGTGAGATCCTACCCACAAGTATGCAGTCCTGTACTTCGGTAATCACGAAAATCGCGTATGGGAGTTCACTAGGGGCAGAAATACAGTACAAAAGCGGAAAGAGACGCAGGTTTTATGATTTGACACAAGAGAGTCTGATGGAGGAAGTCTGGCCGATAATCTTTGTGAAGGAGGACAAAAGTCGTAAGAGGGAGACAGAAACAGGTGTACTACATGTGAAATTCGAAGTCCCAGCATGTATATTAAAGGTATATAATAAAAGAAAACAAGAAAGGAACATTCCATGTTATCCAATTCTTCCTCGACCACTTACTTATCAGTAAATTAGGACTTTATTAAACATCAATACCGTGATATCAAAGCTAAATGAAAAATGTCAAATATAGGAAGAAATTCTAGATTATAGCATTTTGCGATTATGTTCATATTGGTAACTTAAGCACGAGACAATCAGTCAAGTGCATTCACTTATGTTATATCATCCTTAATACACCAGAACATGCACATGTACATCCGTAATATCACTGACAAACAGACAGACATCAAGAATTCTCAAGCGTGTGAAGAATTTGAATTGGATGCTAAGATATTCAGTAATTTTAAATTGATAACCTAGCAAGTTCAACAAGCTTTCTCTATTTCTTCCTTACGCTAGTATTAATCTAAAGATACTGTTTTAAAGGAAACTGTGTATCTCTGAAAAGTATTGACTCTTTAATTAAAGCAACCATAACTATCAGTTAACTACATATTATGTACAATGTATATAAACATCTGTGTTTTATATATAATATTTAATATGTAGAATAATTTCATGATTAATTCTAAAGTGAGGGTATGAGTGTTAATACGAAACATCTAAGTTTCGTTTTGAAAAAAGCCTTTCCAAATTTCTCAAAAAAATGTTGTATATCATTTCATTCACTTAAAATAGGAATCATCCTTTTCCCTTTTAGAGATATAAAACATGTAGTGAGAATGTGCTATAAGACCAATCTTGTGGTGACTATATTAAAACGATAAAAAATTTGTTTTATCAGTCTGTATTGGAATTGATTTCAGAAATCTCAAAAAACAATATTTTTATTGATTCCAATAGTGATGGTTATCTCTCTTATTTGACTGTATTTTTTCATGACATAAAGTGATTGCTATTTTTTTTTCATAGTTTAAAATATTTTGATCACATCTTATTATGAATCATAATACATAATCAAAACACTTACCATTGTATATATCATTAATATTGAGCAGTGAGAAAGGCTTTCGTGATAAGTATAGTTTCGGCATTGATTTTTTATTATAACTTCTCTTAGCTTTATCTGATTGTTTTTTTTTCTTCAGTGCGGTCTAGTCCTCATAGACAGTCCTGGGATAGGTGAAAACGAGGCTATGGATGGTATCATCGCATCTTACGTTCAGGAAAATTTCGTCATGGGCTTTATTTACGTGATCAAGTCTGACAACGCCGGAGGTGTCGATGAAGACAGGGTAAATAAAACAAAAGAAAAACAATCAGAAAAATGATAACTAACAATCAAAGGCTTTTTTTTAAAAAAAAAAAAAAAAAAAAACATTTATACTCAAAATACTGAAAATCACTCATACTTCGTGTGGGATTTATTTTCGTGTTAATACTGAAAGAGAGTCAATCGTGAATTCAAAGTCGTCACAATAATTAATTAATTCTTGGTGACACCCATGCCGATTCGGTTTATGTTATCGTAGTCCAAATATCTAATAGTCCATCATTCTCGCATCTGCAGTAATTCCTAGATGATCGTTCGCCAAGACATGTATTCGTGAAAATTTCTAAAGAGGGGGCAAAATGTTAAAACCTAGTAGGTGACAGGGCGAAATCCAAATTGGTTAAAATAAATCCTAGAATCCAGGTATTGCGGTGCACTAACCCTTCGATTCAACGATTTTTCAACATTGAATGAAATCTTAAAAGAACAGTATTCTTGATTTGTACGTCGAAAGAAAAGTGTGATGTGTCTATTTCGCATCTAAACATTTATTTTGTAGCTTTTGACACTAATAAGAGTGATTTTAGAGAAACAGAGGATGCAGTCCGACGATAAAACGGCAATACCTTTCAATCCAAAAAGCGTTATGTTTGTGTGTAACCGTTGGGACGTCATTACGCAAGATCAGCAGGACCTTGTATTCAACAATGCTGTAAACAAACTTTCCAAATGCTGGCCGAGTCTAAGCGCAGATCAGGTTATCCGCATGTCCACATCGATGGCGTTGCGAGAAGCCGATATCGATCCTGACTTCATCCCAGAAACCTACAGAATCCTGTTGGAACACCTAAGGAATATATATATCATTGCTCTTGATACAAGGATTCAATCTACCTTTCAGTAAGTACAGATGCCAATTAAATAAATGTTTTCTTGCCGTCCACACCAAAATGTGTGTATATAATTTAAATGAAATAATGTGTGTTATGCAATATATCAATTTCCTTGCTCTGACTATATGCCAAACCAGTCACTGACAGTATCTTTAACTTTTATCTAATGTAAACCATCTAAATGAGAGCATTTTAGCCCTTTATAACACAAGACTATTTTTTAATGAGCTCACATTTGATTGCTAGGTGGGTAGCCAATGTGGTGGAAAGAAGCATGTTCCATATTAATTCAATCGTTCAAGATATAAATTCAAGCCAAGATGACCTCAATCAACGAACAATTAACATCACAAAAAGTCTTGATGCACTACAACACAAAGCGGAAGGATTATTCCAACGCCTTCGTGAAGAAATAGAAGGAATGACTAATGAAGTTTGCAAAGAGTTTAGGGAACGGCTGAAACGTCCCTCGGTGAAAGCAAAAGTGTTGAGTTGGGAAGAATGTGAGCTTCCTGCAGTAGATGGGAAAACATGGCCTCAAATCAAAGATAAACTTGATTTCAAACTATCACAACGACTGAGCGATGTTTTAGAGGAATGGAACGAAGAAAATGACTACATAGTCAAGATTGAAGAAAAAATATTCAGAGAAGTTCATGACCAACTCAATATTCTACAAGACGATTTCCATGGCATAGAAAAACAGAAGGGCGTGTCAGACCTGTCAAAGTCTCTTTCAAAATCGATGCAGCAGCAACTTCATGCAGCCACTCCAATGGCAAGTATCTTTGGAATGACACAACAAGCTGGTGGTGAACAGGCTATGCCACTGAAGGTGATGACGCAAGCGGCAAATCCTCTAGGGAAAATGTTTCACAAGGTCAAACTGGTTGATGAGTTCAGGTAAAATTATTCTTATGTTTGTAAAAGAAAAAATTAGCAAGAATAAAACAATTCAAACCAATGATATTTCAACAATCTTAAACTATTTTTTTTAATTCATACGCAAACTATATCAAATGTGTTTAAATTATTTTGAAAAAAATCATGTCATTAATGAAAAGATGATATCGATGTAGCATTAAGTATTTTCACTTGATAATTCTTTCAGAAATGCTCGAAAGAGGAAAGCCTACGTAGATGACCCATTAAAAGTTGCGTCTAAAAAAACTGAGAGTACATGGAAGAGGCTAGTTTTAAAGGATGACAACGACATCTTAAAAACCATAGTTGAAAGCATAATGGAGAGACCAATCAAGCAGCTATCAAAAATTCAGAAAAACATTCCAGCCCTCATCGATTCCAACAAACAGTCTCTGGAGCATGCTTATGCCTGTAGGTTGGATGCAATGGAATCTAAAGCGCTGTATAATTACATGCAGAAAGATTTTGAAACTCCTGCAAAACATATCAGCGACTTTGGGAACGGTTACATAGCAATCACAACATTTCGCAACGAAGAATTGAGACTTCAAGAGGAAATAAAGTCAAACTTGGGGAAATGTTCACACAACTTCCGAAGTTCCAATGTTATATTGGACAGTCGATCAGCAATAACAATCAAACTCGTGGAACGCGGGCTATGGACGGTTCTTCAGCCAGGAATGGTCTACACCAAAGATGGAACTCAACCTTCCACTATTCGAATGTATAGTCAATCCTCAGGAGTAGACTCGATCTTCAGAGAAGTTGCTCGGATAAAGTAAGGAACCAAACGTATTTTTCCTGTTTTTGCGTATCTAATATAAGTGATATTGTGATTGCATAAAGAGGTTTCATGCCATTATTATTGCTTAAAAATAAGACGGGTTCTTTTTTTATCTTTTGATAAGTTGTCTCGAAAACTAAAAAAGTATTCCTATGTACTGAATACATTGTCAAAATTAACCATTAAGAAGACAATACATGGCTTTCTATCAGCAAAGTTAAAATAAATCAGTACCTCTATTTATCTAAGACATTATGTATATTTTATGTTGGTTCCACTTTCCAGACGACTTAATTGTCCACACATCGCAAAATTACTTGGCATCCATTACTCTGATGTCCCCCCGCCGGTGTCTCTCTTTCTGGGAAGTCTAGGCAGCCTCAACAATTCACGCAAACAAGACCCAACCGGTTTTATAACAGACATTCCTCGAATTCTCCAGGAAGTTGCTGTTGGAGTGAACTATCTCCATCGCGTTCAAATGGTCCACATGGAACTTAGCATCGGCACTGTGACGGTAATTATTTCGAATTGTGTAATAAAAGAAATTAATAAAATATAAGCATTTTTTCTGAACCCGAGTAATGTTCGTTTACAGTTTCAATTTATAGTAAACTTCATAACGATAACAATTCAAAGTAAGATTGGATATATATACCTTGTTCACTTTTTTCAATGGTTTATCCTTCCTGATATCAGAATCCTTATTCGTGTGGCATAACATCCAATGCATGCAGTAGGGATACGTCTATAAACACTGCTTGATTATTTTGCTGGTAACGTTGTATAGTCATTTTCCTATTCTGCCATATTGGGAAGTCCTAATCAAAGGCTACTGTCCGAAATAAACGCAATCATCACAAGAAATAACTTTGTTTCAGAATTACTTGAATTGTACTATGTCAAACGCAGTGTAAGGACTTCGTCACAAATTTGTTGTTGCAGTTCACATTAGTCTTCATTTTATGCCACGCTTATTTCGAAACCTCCCCATCTGGATTTGACTTTCCTTTCTATCACTATGGATTTTCCGCAGTCGCCTCTTTGGCACCAAAACATAGGAATTGTTTCAATATCTTACAATGCTACCGGCGTTTGTGAGATAAATTCTTTATTGTATTGTTCTGTTGAACATCATTTTGAATTTATTTTAATGTTTAAAGGTGGACAGCTATCGAAATGTGAAGTTGACCGGTGGATGCTTCCCAAGGCATGCTAAACTTCCTGAAAATATCAGTCAAATTCCTGCTGCTGATTTTATATATATACCTTCCTTTGTACTTCGTGGTCATAAATATGTCAATCGGGCCGATATCTATGCCTTTGGACTCCTTATGTATGAAATGCTTCGCAACGAAAAGCCTTTGCAATCAAAACATTCTCTGGCATTGTCAGAGTTCTGCAAAACCTTACAAATTGGTCAATGCATTAGCGAAGAGCTTGGGTTCAGCAAACTGGAACAAAAGGACAAGGAAATCATAAAGGCTCTTGTGAATATGTCTGTGCAAACGGAACGCCTCTGTGATACATTAGAAGAATGGCTGAATACACGTTCTTCTCAACATCCCGAAGCACTTTGTAAAAGTGAACAGGACACAAAATTGTAAATTGAAACATATTTTTGTGTCGTTGGTATACGTTATTTGTTTTTGTTTTCAACTGAAGTATTAACTTTAATATACTATGACTGACTGATAGATAATATGATATGTACTTCCTCAAGACAAGAACTTCAGAGTACAAATTATGGGTGTACACCCTATAACACAATAATGTAAGACAATTTTGTCTTTTGTCAAGAACAACGTGTCTCTGTTTAGTTTTAGGCATGAGTCGAAATCATTTGTTAATAGATGTGTAAAGATTGGTGTCCTCCCTCATGAAGTTCAAAATGTTGCGTTTTGTTAAGTCAAAACATTGTTGAGTTAAAGTTATGTAATATTTAGTTTATAATTCTGTAGTCAGTTTCTTTTTAGTATTTATTCCTCCCCAAGTTTTTGTGGGAGCATGAAGTCGCCGCCTTCTCCGTCCGTCCATGACCGTGGCTTTGCCTACAGTGAAGGAAAGATAATGAAATTTGGTGCAATTGTTCCAAATACTAAAGAAATGTGCAGTGTACCAACTTCATGGCCCTCGAACCCTTAATTACAGAGTTACTGCCCTATGCTTAAAATTTCGTGTCTGGGGCATAACTTTGTTTGCATTAAAGCTAGGATAATGTAACTTATTGTGTACATAGACCATACTATGACAATATTTAGATACCAAATTCAGGGCCCGCAACCCTGTAATTACATAGTTATTGCCCTTTGTTTAAAATGTTTTGTCGAGAAAATAACTTCGCGTGCATTTACAGTTGGATAATGCATACATGCAATGTATACATTGACCATGCAAAGATAATGTGCAGTGTACCAATGTTAGGGCCCGTTACCCCTTAATTACACAGCTATCGTCCTTTGTTGAATTGTGTGTCCGGATCAATACTTTGCCTGCATTTGAAACAGGATATGGAAACATGATGTATACATTACTCATACATAAATAAAGTGCAGTTTACCAAAGTCAGGGCTCATGACCCCTCAGTACAGAGTTATTGCCTTTTGTGAGAATTTCATGCCATGAGCACAGCTTTGCTTGCAATAAAACTTGTATCATGGAACTTGATGCGTATATTGGCCATACTAAGAGAATATGCAGTGTACCAATTGTAGGGCCTGCAACTCCTTAATTACAAAATGAATGCCCTTTGCTGATTTTTCCCCAATAAAAATCGGTGCGTTGACATTATTGTTTACATGTTCAATAAATAGATAGAACAAATCGCTTCTATTTGACACACGGAACTCCCGACCATTGGTAAAATCATTTCAACGATCTTTTCTCCAGGATATAGAAATCGCGCTGCCTCCTATACATAGTTTATCGCGGTTAAAATGTCTTCATTATTGATCCAATATATCGTACCATCGTCAGTAACGTGTAACTTTGTGATAAAATATATATTGTGATCAATATGTGCTTTGTTCTCGTCGTGTGAATTGTTTATTCTGTTTTCAATGTGTGTAGTTGTCAGAATGACATGGTTTTTAACTGTACTTCAATAAATTGACAAAACAGCATATTGTTTCTCTCTAACGAAAGTAACTATGTCAATACCGGAACAGCTGTTTGGAATGGAAGTGTTAGTCATGACTAAAAGGAGAGAGAAGTCTGTTCCTGGTGGTGTCTGTCCATATTTCTACCCACAGCCTCACATCATTGTAAAAATAAATCACGTCGGATGATTGCATCAACCGTTTGACAGTTGACTGGGCTCGTAAAATATAGATTAATGGCACATATTTGTTCTACCAGGGATTGTTCATGCAATGAAGTGAAAAAAAGTAATCGTCCAAAATTTCAAATGTGTTTTTCCTTATTAAAATTTGTAGTTTTAAATTCATTGCCTTATTATATATTGTCCATGTGTTTACGTCTGTGAAAACAGAATCGCCAGACACTTTGTAGACTTCGAACGTAGAAGTAGTATGATGTATGTCATTTCCAGGGTAGAAAAAGGCAATCACACATCTTAGAAAATAATAATATTTCGAAATATTTCCCTTGTGCTTTGTTTTTAGATAATTGTATTTATATAACATGAAACGTTCTGTATAGGTATTGACAGATGTGTTTTGCCATTGCTTGACACATGATCACAAAATTGAAAATATTGAGTTGGTATTAAGAAATGTTATATGTTCTGTTATTTAAGTTTAATATATTTGAATATTTTTGTTTTTAACTTAAATGCGTCTTTTATGCTTGTGGAGAGGAGTCTTCGACAAATGCATACAAGGCTTTCCGCTCGAAATGTTTGTCTTCCGGTTTGTCCATTAACAGCGATCGAGTTTAGATTTATTTGTTAACTCTGTGGTATGGTAGCTGACTTTTGTTACCAGAGATACGTCTTTGTTGACACGCTTTGTCCCCATAAGGATTCGAATATAACTGCATGCATTCATTTCCATTCTAAATAAACGATATAAGAGGATTTAAGTAAATGTTAAATAATTAATTACCTCTACCGTGTAGCAATCTAAGATTTGCCCACAATGGCTTATGTGAAGATAACAATACAGTTTTACCAGACAACACTGTCGTGTGCATTAGTCCATTAAAAGATACCATCGCCTTTTGTCAAATAAAAGTATGTCAACGATGAACGACATCAGATTAGCTAATGCTACAGATATGTTTAATACACCTGCATGGAGAACATACATACGGACTTCACGTTAATATATATAATTGGGTACATGTTTTCAGAAATTAGAGACGGATATACGCCAAGATTTAGCCATAACGTTTATCTAATATAACATGCATGGAAAAATAATTTTATGATGAACGATTTTAACTGGTTGAATTTTTAGAATGGGATGCGAAATGTGGCTTATATATGTATACGTCATTGACTTACACATCTTGTTATATCGGAGTAAGGGCAGTAAAGTTAGTTTATGAAATAAGGGATGGGCGGAGTTTCCACTCACATACAAAAGAGATTCTCGACTGTTCTAATCTGAGGCTTTATCTCACACGGAGAAAAGTGCCTTATCCTGTTGACAGGTTTAGTTGTCTTTTACTATACAAGCAATTTTATTTCAAAAACAAAACTTTCAAATACTGTCTGAGTTATTATTCAACACAGGCATACTTCAGTCATTCATTAATTCAAAAGTAAAATCCTATTCATATTTTTGTCAAATGTACATTAGATCGACATTCTTCCCCATACAATCTAATCCTCTCATTCTATACTTAGTACAACGGTGTCTCAAAAATCTAATACTTATTCATGCAAAGCGCACGCTTCATAAATAAACTGCTCACTCCTATAAAAATTGCTTACACATATTATACACATAATAATTTTTTAATGATTGTTATATCAATCGAATGTTAACGTTGAATAGTTTTGTTGTTATCATTATTTTAAAAATACTATGTTAACCTCAACGTTAGACTGTAGAGTGCCGACAGGCTAGCAAGCTGTTTATGGTAAGCACCGCCTACGATACCGCGCAGTACAGGACAGACTAGTAACGACCAACTGTCATTAACACATTCAGGAAGTTATACTGGGTTTGCACATGATACCACCGGCTCGTATTCACTGAAAACCATTGTCACGAGACGCTTTGCTTATACACTCTCTGACACACACTGGTATTTCCAGTCTGCTTAATATTGTTATAATGTGACTCTGTCTTATGTACTCTGTGAGTGTTTAAAATGGCAGGAATTACAGAAGAAGACATTTGGAATGCTGAGGAGTTTGATGAAATTTTTGATTATGCTGACAAATTAGGAGTACCACTCGATGGTCTCGATGAACTTGAAGACATGAAGGAACGACTGTCGATGCAACTAAGGAAAAATGAATATGGAAATCCAAAGAGCTTGGTAAGCCTGATGAAAAAATATGTCACCTTCCATATCACTATTACGGATTATGCCAGTTTAACACAAGCTACCTATTCAATTAATCAATAGCATTTTAACATATAGTGTGCTACCGATATCACAAAGTACTGCTATGTGTTCATATGTGTGTAACTTGACTATAAGTGATGATATTGATTTTTCTCATTTACTAAATGATGTTTTACAGTTATGATGAAAGGTCTGCTTTCAAATACGAACTGTTTTATTAGCACCCTGCAAGTGCAGGGACCAGAACACAACAAGCTCAATAATATTCATTAAACCTTTGATATAATGCCGATTCATACTAAAAACTGAAATCTGAAATAGTGCACGTCTTTTAGAGAAAAAGGAAACTTTGATATAAACATATATATATATATATATATATATATATATATATATATATAGAGAGAGAGAGAGAGAGAGAGAGAGAGAGAGAGAGAGAGAGAGAGAGAGAGAGAGACTTAATCACTTAAGTTATTAAGTGATTAATTTTCTCTGTATATACGATTCACAAAGTTTTTATCTTTTTAAATTAAATATAAATTCCTGCCTACTTGGATTCTCATATACATAATACTGAATTTTTCTTATTCATCAAAAAGACGAATTTTACCTTGTTCATAAGTTTTAGGTCTTGTCTCAGCTCATATACTTTGAAATTCCGCATGAATTTATATGATAGTTCAGTTTTCGTATTGATTTATCTGGAATAAAACTATATGAGTCTAAAATAATCTACCTTTTGCAATCGATACGGTATCTATATACCAGTAGCTTGTTTATTTTCTTTCCTTTTATTTTGTGTGTCCTTCCTAATCATTTCAGCCTTGTTCTAATATCAAAAGGTGCAGTAGAATGATGTCTATGCATTACTTTGTATATCTGTATGGGCGTCATATTATATTATATTGATAATCGGATGAACAGATTGATTAATATGTATTGTATATAGCAATGTCATTGTAAAGACAATACATGGCAAGTCACGGTTTTCGTACAAAAAGGCGTCAACTGACGGAAGACCTGTAACGTGTTGTCGTAGTGACCACATTAAAAAAATATTCATTCTCTATGTGTGGAACACTTGGTCTTATTCTACTGGTAATTTTTCACGAGTTTCCGTGTAAATCTTTCTTTTGATCAAATTTTACCTAGTTTTATTGAATTTGAATTATGATTATCTTGACATATTCGTGTTTCATTTTTTTTCTTTTGTGAGGATGGATAAAGTTTAAAGTGGAGAGCCTTTTGTTTTTCCGTTCCGAGCCAAAATGGAGTTGATACTATAAGATATTGATCATGTGTTATATTTATCCTCCAATTTAGAGTATAGAAACTTTAACATTATTTTATGTCTATTCAAGTTTTACGCATATACTTCTACGCATCAATGAATTTAAGTAACAATTTTGTGAATGTTAGTAAATATTGTAATGTTTCAGACATTTTATTCAAGTAACTGAATTATGTTAAGACACCACACCCAAACCGTATGTAGTTATACTGTTTCACAGACTTTTATTCAAGTTACTGAAATATGTTAAGACACCACACTCAAACCGTATGTGGTTATAATGTTTCACTGACAAAATGACAATCAAATTTAATAATCTATATTGACTGCTCAATAACTATCAAATGATTGGAAAAGCGGTATTTTCAAAGTGTACTTGTGGATTGCATTGACGGACAAACGAACGGACGCATCATGCTTTAATATACACACTCAACTTCGTTTAACGATTCAACAGTAATAAAAAAGAAATGTGAAAGTTATTTCTATTTTATTTAGTTTCCTTGAAATGCAAGGATAATACTGATATCATTAGATACTGAATGGCAATATATCGACACAAACTCACTCGAGAAAAACACTCTGATTTAAGGTACTATGTCTTCATGTAAACAGTGACGGTCCAAAATGGCTGAACTAACGAGTACCAATGTCGACAGTGAAACATATTTTTAGAAATATTAAACACAAGGTATCAACATTTGTAGAGAATGTAAAAAAGGCATTCAAATGTCTTTTCATAGCATTTATAGCCGTTGTAAATGACAAAATTGTAGACAAAATATAATGTTTTACACTTGGTCATAAGTTAGGGACCACTTATATTTCTATACTATAGAAAATATTCAATGACGACTCGGGATATACTAGACTGTTCTTTCATGAATCTACCGACACTATACACAGTCGAACAGAGAGAAATTTATAGAACCGGAAGTGCCGTTTCATTCTTAAAATGTTATTTGATTAAGATTAAATAGTCTAGTCAGTTCTTATACCCGTCACCTCAAATAAAGACGCTGAACCTTGTCCTGAGGAAACCCCTGCAACTCCTGAATCGATGAAGCTCGTAATAAAGACGCTGAATCTTGTCCTGAGGAAACCCCTGCAACTCCTGAATCAATGAAGCTCGTAATAAAGACGCTGTACCTTGTCCTGAGGAAACCCCTGCATCTCCTGAATCGATGAAGCTCGTAATAAAGACGCTGAACCTTGTCCTGAGGAAACCCCTGCATCTCCTGAATCGATGAAGCTCGTAATAAAGACGCTGAACCTTGTCCTGAGGAAACCCCGCAACTCCTGAATCAATGAAGCTCGTAATAAAGACGCTGAACCTTGTCCTGAGGAAACCCCTACATCTCCTGAATCAATGAAGCTCGTAATAAAGACGCTGAACCTTGTCCTGAGGAAACCCCTGCATCTCCTGAATCAATGAAGCTCGTAATATTCCAATTGTTTTGCACTTTAGATACCCTGCATTGACTTTTATCCGAGATAGTCCCATACATGTTCATGGGTTCATGTCTAGCGATGTTGCATACCACAGGAGTGTCTCCACACTTCTTGTTGTTTTGGCATCCATTCGGTTAGACCGATTTGCCAATGAATGGAAATCGAAACAACTGAAAGTCAAAGCATTTTATTCCGGAATTTCTGCCCAATTTATGTTCCTTCAAGGACACGCAAGAGAACTTACAGCTTATAGAACAGCATTCTACATCAATAACCATCACCAAACGAAGTTGTGTTTAGAATGTATTCTGGTGGTATTTCTTGGTCTCCAAACAAGGACACTCTTGTCTTGTCATATTCCATGTTAAATGATCACGTGCGTATTATAGTCTTGTTGATTTGTGCCTTCAAGTCAACTGAAGACGTTTCACTTGTCTAACGCGAACATTGACGTGCCACTGTCCTCCGAGCCTGTTGGCAGTGGTGAATGGTGCTCGACTTGCCTGTCTACACAGAAGTATTTCTTCTCTATCTAGAGTCTTTCGACGCCTGTCCAACACGTCCGGTTTGCTTCAGACGCTGCATTTGTCGAAAAATAACGGGATAGCTGGCATTAGATCGCGCAGTTACTGGCCTGTATGCTTGCCATCTTTTAAATTTCAAAATTTATACGTGCTATTTTTAAATACAGTATGAAGAAGTGTGAGATTTACTAGAAATACACGCGCAAATGCTGCTTGAGATGCCAAGGTAAAGTTGTGTTTCATTATGCTGCTAGGTACACAAGTTAAAAACTAATTATTGTCCAGTTGGGTGTATCGCTTGGTGGTGGCCTTGGGCACAAACAACAAAAGGAGACACTACAAGGAGTACAACAGGGTTTACTGTTACAAAAAGAAAAATCAGTTTGATTTGATTTTTTATACTGAAATCGATCATCCCTAACTTATTTCCAAGTATGTATATTCAAATGAAAAATAATTAAGCCTTAAACCTTATCATCTTGTTATACCGATGTGGCTTTACATTTTTCCGACGAATAAAAGGTTTATATATATATTTCATACTTCTGTAGTCGAATGAATTACAAATAACAACCATAACGGTCATACAGACCATTACTAAGAGAGAGGGAATACTGGATGACTTTCGCAAGGAAGTACCTTTTGAAGATGTGTTGTTTATGACAGCTGTACATAAAGCTGATAAGTCGCATAACAAAAAAATCTTCGTGCATTTTAATTTACATATCTAGCCTCGATCGCAAAATTCCAGTTAAACACGTCATTTATGCGCTAGTATTGTTTAAACCTGAAAGCAAATCTCTTTTCTACGAAACATCAAAAACTTACATTATCTGGCAATATGTTTGAGTAACACTTCATAACACTCCGTGCAGACAAAAGAATGAACTTGTAACTTGATATTTAAGCCAGAACTCGTGACATATCTATTCATTTGTGTGTCTTTTGTACAAGTTTATCGGTGATTTTTTATCGACACCATGTCATCTGTTATCTAAATGCAGTAACGTAAACATGTCTAAGCTGAAATATTTTTCTCATACATTGATGTACTGAAAATTAGATATAGATCAACAAGAAAATACCAATATGTTAACATAATCATAATCTAAACTTGATAAAACCGGGGGGAAATTTGAACAAAAAATAAATGATTTACATTGAAACTTCTGAAAAAGCACAGGGAGAATAAAACCAGATGTTCCGAAAGATTAGGCGACTTTTGCTTCATCAACGAAACTTGTCATCTTAATTTTGGTCAATTAGACATAATAACTTCCTCAACATATCGAAATTGATGGCCAATTGTTGAAAATCAAAATGTAAATAACAACATGGACACGCTTGAGACACGACAATAAAACCTGATGATCCGGAAGGGTCCCCGTCCGCGACTTTAGAAATGTGCATCTAGAATAATGTTTACAACAATGAAACCATGTAGTATATCAACGATTATCGAAAAATCTAACTTTATATCGCATTTATATCGTATTTTGATGTGGTGTGGTCTTTGTAAGTACATATTAATCTTCCCGTAACGATAGAAACGAGAAATTAATAAAGGAACATATACGTTATTCTAATCTTTTTATATTTTCCTCTTTTAGATCGCAAAGTCGCTGGACGTGTCACAAAAGGAGGATCTGCACAAGAGATTAAAACTTGGCATACTGCTTGAAGAGTTCGAAAAGACCATTTCAACATGCCAGAATGGAAAAGGCATCGAGGCAATAGAAGACCTGTTAAGGACAGAGGGAACTGTTAAAGATTTGAAACAGGAGTTGGACCACCACATCGAACGGATGAAGAAAGGAGAGTGTGTGTTTGTAGTGGCGGGTAAGTTTTTCTTGTGGTTGCTTGAGTACAAGACGATGATCATTATCTCACCACTTTCATGCTATCCCGATGTCTGTATCTCAGGCTTTCATATTCTACTTTCATTTTAGTGATTTTTAGTTAACGAAATAGAAACGTGTATGAATCTGAAGGTTTATCGTATCCTTATCAATGTTTGATACACACAAACAGTGTTTTTTGGTCTTTTTTTTCCCGGATGTTCGAATATTCACACATATATTGAGAAAACAGCAATTACAACAGAACCAGGAATCCATGATGTATTCAATAATCTTAACAACTTCCGGCTGTACCTACTCATCTTAAGACGTTCCCTGTTGATTGAGTCTAGGTTGGTGTTTATGTGGGTATTCTCTTTCATTTCAACCAGACAAACGTTAAAAGTAAATACACGACAAAGCCGCAATGTTAATCACTTTTATTGTGATTTAAATGTTTTTACACTGGCAGTACTGAATACAGAAGTCAAATTCCATCTATAAAATTTCCAAAATTCGGCTTGCTTACTTAACGCTTCTCAATACATAACGTAAACCCACTATGCTGTCGTTTGGAACATACGTTTGCAACTTCCGATTCAGTACGTTCCAATGTTACGTGTTGATTAAGCAACCGGAGTAAGATAGATATCTATATCATTCAGCAATATTCTAACCCCACGCCCTAACAAGGATAAAAACAACAACAATTATGTATGTACAGTCAATATAAGCTTAATAATTCTTACCATACAATGCAATTGTCTAGACGAATATTCGTATGTGTATTGGAGATAAATGGTACGTTTATCCAGACCTGTGATAAACTACAACTATAAAGGTGCAAGGTCGTCTAGTTTTACAAATCTACTTCTCAAAACGAGTAAATTGACTGTGCAGTATAAACTGAACTTGTCGTTAATGGAGCCGCAGGGCTTTGTCACTCTCTCTCAATTTGCATATCAGATCTCCCAGGATTCCCACACATTCAAAAACTATTTTCGTTAAATCATACAGTATTTATACGAACATTTGAAATTTGTGTAGGATTGTAGTGAACATTTTACTGAAGATGTCTAATTGCTTAGCTATGAGATCAATAACGCTTGAATCGTGAAGAATTATATGAAGTAATTGTGATCTGGGTTTTTTTATCACCCCATACTATAAATATAACTATCGAATAATTGCTCTTTTAATGTCTGGCAGTTCCTGTATTTGCAATTAAGATATACACTCAATATGGCGCAATGAAAAGTATATTCACACAACACATAAGGGGTGATCGTCAGTCAGTCATAGTGCCTTGTCTTCGGTGAATGTCTAATCTCAGATAAATTGTGTTAATATGAACCAAGTTCGCGCACATTCAGTGTACCAGGAAGTACAATATGGACCAAAAGATATCAACCCGTCCCGGTATACAAATTGTATGTGTGTATCAGTATGGGTGTGTGATTTGTGAGTTAGTTTACTTCTCTTTCGTCGAGGTAAGGTTTACTTTGCTTTGTTCTCTTGTGTCGAGGCGAGGGCAATTTGCATGTTTGGTTGTCTGGTGTCGAGATCTGGATAATTTGTTTTGTTGTCTCGTGTCGAGATGAGGATACTTTGCTTTGTTGTCTAGTGTCGAGATGTGGATATTTGTTTGGTTGTCTGGTGTCGAGATGTGGATACATTGCTTTGTTGTCTGGTGTCGAGATGTGGATACATTGCTTTGTTGTCTGGTGTCGAGATGAGGATATTTTGTTTTGTTGTCTGGTGTCGAGATGAGGATATTTTGCTTTGTTGTGTAGAGGTGAGGATAATTTATTCTCTTGTGTAGAGGTGAGGATAATTTGATCTTGTGTAGAGGTGAGGATAATGTGATCTTGTGTAGAGGTGAGAATAATTTGATCTTGTGTAGAGGTGAGGATAATTTGATCTTGTGTAGAGGTGAGGAAAATGTGATCTTGTGTAGAGGTGAGGATAATTTATTCTCTTGTGTAGAGGTGAGGATAATTTATTCTCTTGTGTAGAGGTGAGGATAATTTATTCTCTTGTGTAGAGGTGAGGATAATTTGATCTTGTGTAGAGGTGAGGATAATTTGATCTTGTGTAGAGGTGAGGATAATTTATTCTCTTGTGTAGAGGTGAGGATAATTTGATCTTGTGTAGAGGTGAGGATAATTTGATCTTGTGTAGAGGTGAGGATAATGTGATCTTGTGTAGAGGTGAGGATAATTTGATCTTGTGTAGAGGTGAGGATAATTTGATCTTGTGTAGAGGTGAGGATAATTTGTTCTCTTGTGTAGAGGTGAGGATAATTTGATCTTGTGTAGAGGTGAGGATAATGTGATCTTGTGTAGAGGTGAGGATAATTTGATCTTGTGTAGAGGTGAGGATAATTAGTTTTCTTGTGTAGAGGTGAGGATAATGTGATCTTGTGTAGAGGTGAGGATAATGTGATCTTGTGTAGAGGTGGAGTTAATGTGATCTTGTGTAGAGGTGAGGATAATGTGATCTTGTGTAGAGGTGAGGATAATGTGATCTTGTGTAGAGGTGAGGATAATTTGATCTTGTGTAGAGGTGAGGATAATTTGATCTTGTGTAGAGGTGAGGATAATGTGATCTTGTGTAGAGGTGAGGATAATTTATTCTCTTGTGTAGAGGTGAGGATAATTTGTTCTCTTGTGTAGAGGTGAGGATAATTTGTTCTCTTGTGTAGGGGTGAGGATAATTTGATCTTGTGTAGAGGTGAGGATAATGTGATCTTGTGTAGAGGTGAATGTGATCTTGTGTAGAGGTGAGGTTAATTTATTCTCTTGTGTAGAGGTGAGGATAATTTGTTCTCTTGTGTAGAGGTGAGGATAATGTATTCTCTTGTGTAGAGGTGAGGATAGTTTGATCTTGTGTAGAGGTGAGGATAATGTGATCTTGTGTAGAGGTGAGGATAATTTGATCTTGTGTAGAGGTGAGGATAATTTATTCTCTTGTGTAGAGGTGAGGATAATGTGATCTTGTGTAGAGGTGAGGATAATTTGATCTTGTGTAGAGGTGAGGATAATTTGATCTTGTGTAGAGGTGAGGATAATGTGATCTTGTGTAGAGGTGAGGATAATTTATTCTCTTGTGTAGAGGTGAGGATAATGTGATCTTGTGTAGAGGTGAGGATAATTTGATCTTGTGTAGAGGTGAGGATAATGTGATCTTGTGTAGAGGTGAGGATAATTAGTTTTCTTGTGTAGAGGTGAGGATAATGTGATCTTGTGTAGAGGTGAGGATAATGTGATCTTGTGTAGAGGTGAGGATAATTTGATCTTGTGTAGAGGTGAGGATAATGTGATCTTGTGTAGAGGTGAGGATAATGTGATCTTGTGTAGAGGTGAGGATAATGTGATCTTGTGTAGAGGTGAGGATAATGTGATCTTGTGTAGAGGTGAGGATAATTTGATCTTGTGTAGAGGTGAGGATAATTAGTTTTCTTGTGTAGAGGTGAGGATAATTTATTCTCTTGTGTAGAGGTGAGGATAATTTGTTCTCTTGTGTAGAGGTGAGGATAATTTGATCTTGTGTAGAGGTGAGGATAATTTGATCTTGTGTAGAGGTGAGGATAATTTATTCTCTTGTGTAGAGGTGAGGATAATTTGATCTTGTGTAGAGGTGAGGATAATTTGATCTTGTGTAGAGGTGAGGATAATTTGATCTTGTGTAGAGGTGAGGATAATGTGATCTTGTGTAGAGGTGAGGATAATGTGATCTTGTGTAGAGGTGAGGATAATGTGATCTTGTGTAGAGGTGAGGATAATTTGATCTTGTGTAGAGGTGAGGATAATTTGATCTTGTGTAGAGGTGAGAATAAGTTGTTGGATTTGAGATGTTGTGGTATTGTTAACAAAACGGTCTGTGCTCCTCAGGAAGTTGAAATTACCGGCGGGCCTACCGCCCTATATTATGTGTGGTAGTTACCAACTGCTGAACGGAAACCCCGACTCAAATGACCCTGGTTGTCAATGGGCGATACAGAAAGAAAATGTACATATATTTCTATGCGGATGGAACGTTTTCAAAACATTTAGTACGAACGAAGGCAGTCTGGTAGACATGTAATAAAAGACTAAACCTTGACAAATGTTTAGCGTAGATTTGTATGGCAAAATGGCTAATATTTTACATATCAGTAAAGTATTTTCAGATAAAGATACAAAGAAAACACATAAGTGATGGACTCATGTGTCATTCTTTTACCCTCAAAAATAAACATTACAAAAGAAATTCTGAAAAAACGAATAGAAATATTATCTGTGTACTTCGTTGTCGGAATACAAATGATGATGTTGTTATAGATAGAGTATCCAGTTCCGTCGGTTTCCATTTCCTTTATAGAAGAATGTTATAATATATTTCGTTAACCATCTTGTTATATTTATCAGCTAGATAAAGACAAACATTTGGAGGAAAAATTACAGAAATTTATCAATTTTTTATCTTTTTTTTTTTTTTTTTTAAGAAGCGTGTCGATCATTTATTGAATTTTATCTCCAGTGTCGTCTGTAGCCAATTAGATTTTATAAAAGGGTGTAAATGTATTTTTCAGGTGAAACTTCTGCTGGAAAGTCAAGTTTGCTGAATCTACTCCTAGGACAGTCGATCCTACCCTCATTCACTGGAAGTTCAACATCTGTAATAACACGCATATCCTATGGGAAAAAGATGTATGCGGAGATCGTTTATCAGGGTACCACGCCCACGGAAACATTCAATGACATCAACTTTACTTGGGTACATGACTACCTTTGGGACCGTCTACGAATCAAAGACGAAAAGAAACGACAGTCACAATCTCCTATCAAAGAAATAAGATTCCAAATACCATGCGAAATCCTCAGGGTATGTTGATCACTAAAACACTTTGAATTTAAAAATTCCTACATCAGATTGAATAGTAAACATTGCAAACGATTGCACAACAGACTAAACGGAGGACAACACTATCAAATACACACCTAACTCTTGGTCGAAATGGATTATGCACTTATCCCATAGCTAGAACATTAAGAAAAGGAGATGAATTAGAATGATAACTGCTTGTCGAAATATTAATAAGGATAGGGTGAAATAATCCTACAAATATAGATAAGGCGGTCACCAACCCTATAACTTACAGGTGAAATAATCCTACAAATATAGATAAGGCGGTCACCAACCCTATAACTTACAGGTGAAATAATCCTTCAAATATAGATAAGGCGGTCACCAACCCTATAACTTATAGGTGAAATAATCCTTCAAATATAGATAAGGCGGTCACCAACCCTATAACTTATAGGTGAAATAATCCTACAAATATAGATAAGGCGGTCACCAACTCTATAACTTATAGGTGAAATAATCCTACAAATATAGATAAGGCGGTCACCAACCCTATAACTTATAGGTGAAATAATCCTACAAATATAGATAAGGCGGTCACCAACTCTATAACTTATAGGTGAAATAATCCTACAAATATAGATAAGGCGGTCACCAACCCTATAACTTATAGGTGAAATAATCCTACAAATATAGATAAGGCGGTCACCAACCCTATAACTTATAGATGAAATAATCCTATAGATATAGATAAGGCGGTCACCAACTCTATAACTTATAGGTGAAATAATACTGTAGACATCTACTGATGAAAATATTGCATGTATATGAAATATTGAGTGGAGGGTAATCTTACTGACTGGATCTAGAAATCAGTAATGGAGTATATGTTATCATGGTCCTAATGATTGCTGATTATTTATCTAGTCTACCAGGCAATATTAAGTCCGTCAACAACAACATTATGTGCTACACCATTGTAATACTTGTTATAAATGATAACATGTAATAACAGTTATAATTTCCCTATACATTTGCTTGCGTTCCCTGACTTTGTTTACTGCATCTGTGTATTTATGACATGTTAATGTTATAGTGTGGTCTCGTGATTGTGGACTCTCCGGGAATAGGTGAAAACGAGGCTATGGACAACGTTATAGCTGACTTCATTCGAGAGAACGAAATTATGGGATACATCTATGTCATCAAATCAGACAATGCGGGAGGAGTGGACGAGGATAGGGTGAGAGCACTTGGTTGTCATTATACCTGTCTTAAGGTATTATGTTATATGGTCTAAGGGAGATAACTTTAATAATCGACAACTCTCGGAGTGATATATTTTAACAACATACCCTATGAAATCTAAGCAATAAAATGAAATCTATAACAAGTTTTGTTATGATGTCTACACAATAAAATATTGATTACCTTTTTATGATCAAAATTGAATCAGAACATATGTTTATATGTATCCATACAAATTGAACCTCGATTATAGACTTCATGAAACTCATTTAGCCTATGTACCCTTGAGCAGCTTCGAATAGAATGGGTCAAAGTATGAAGGAACTGTTTGTAAACAACCTCTACTGTCTGAACAGACAGACATGGGTTTGCACCGTTATTACAATTCGATTTCTAGAAAAAGGTGGGTTGTCAATAACTGGAATGAATTGTTCACGAGAAGTATTAATATCGATATTAATTTTTATGAAGGAGTTTATAATTTGGTAAAAATCCAGTTTGACGAAATTAACTTAAAGTCAATTCCTAAATGAAATGATCAGTCAAAAGCGCACGTGTTTCGTCAAAGTTCAAAACGCAGTTATCTTCTTCACTGTCAATTTGTGGTGTTATTTCTAAACCCCGATTTCTCCCCAGAGACAATATCGGCAAAAATGTTAACAGAAATTTTGTTTTGTTCCTAAAGTTCTAGATATATGTGTTACTATGTGTTACTATGTGTTACTAAAGCTCCATATCTAAAAATCATTCAGCTCCTAGCCATGTTGAAGATGGTCATCGACAAACAAACGATGAATCAACAGATGCAACTGGAGCATTTTGACTCTAAGAGTGCTATGTTTGTGTGTAACCGATGGGATCTTGTGAAGTCAACTGAACAGGACATGGTGTTTAAAAACACTGTAAAACTACTGGGAGAGTGCTGGCCGTCACTATCTTCCTCTCAGGTGATCCCATTCAAAACAGAATATGCCATTAAGGAGGCCGAATGTGATCCAGACTTCATCCCGGAATTATACAGAGTGTTCCTTGAGCGCCTCCGCGACATGCATATCCATGCCATGGACAACCGAATAGAACAGACTTACAAGTAGGTTTAATATACCAGATGGTCTTGAATTAGCTGCTTCCATGTGGGACGATTGTACCGCCAAAAACGTCAGATCTGCGTAACTAGTATATCTAAACACAAGGAAACAGATTACTTGTTTGAGTTGCATACCATTTTACAAGTGGTCAGTAGATCTATAGACTTCCCTTGTCAATCGGTTAATGCTGAAAAATTCCAGAATCAAAATACAAGATGAAATTGTTTATCGGAGTTAAATCTTTTAAAGGAATCAATACTCAAAATTTGGTTGATTCTGCTATTTGTCTTCCCACTAGACCTGTTGCCTCATAACTGCTGAGTAACTCGTTCTTTGTCTTCTTTCTATTAAATACAGATGGATGAGCAAAGTCTTTACGAGATCCATATACCAGCTTCAAACTTTGATCACTCGAGCCAACATGTCGGAAAGTGAAGGGAAAGGAAACGTGGACGAGATCAAAAAGAAACTTCACACGCTGGAGATTAAGTCAGATGCCGTAATTAACGAATTGAGAGAGAATATTGAGAAGTCTTCACAGGAACTATGCGAAGAATTCCGACCGGAGTTGATGAAACCTTTCTCAAAAATGACCCTAACCAAATGGCTTCCAGAGGAACTACCTCTACTGGAAAATGGTGGTTGGCCTGATGTGAAGATGATTCTGCGCTGGAGAATAGCAGAAAGGGTCATAAGACTCATTGAAGATTGGGAATCAGAGAATGGAAAAATCGCAGTCATTGAAGGAAGAACAGCATATGCCATCAAAGACCAACTTAACTTGCTGCAAGCGGATCTGCAAAAAATAGAAGATGGTATGAACGCAAAAGATTTCAATAAAAGAGAACAATTGCGGAGATCAATTTCTAACCCTTTGATCATTCGCAGGACTTCCAAGGTGATCTCCTTTGATAAACAAGATCCAGCTACACCAATGAAGCTTATAACAAGAGTGCTTCATCCAGTACAAAATGTTATCAAATCAACGAAACTGGTAGACAGTTTCATTCTTGCGAGAAAAGAAAAGGTGTACAGAGAAAACCCTGCAAAAGTAGCTAAAGAGCAAACCGAGAAATTTCTGCAAGAGTTGATGGAACCGCATCATCCTGATGAAGATATTCTTCAACAGATTATGTCCAATCTGCTTGAAAGGTCCATGTCTAAACTAAGTGAGATAGAAAGAAACATTCCATTGCTCATCAAATCTAACGAGAAACTGCTAGATAAGGCTCTCTCCTGTCGAAAGAATACAGTTGAAAGCAAGGGTTTATACGCAACTCTTAAGCAGAGTCTTGAGGGAACAGAACGCCGTCTGAATCATTACTACAAGGGCTACATTTCTGTCAAGAATATGCGAGATGTTGAAATTTGTGCCCCCAATGAAATGTATAACAGACTTTCCAGTCCCACGTCATTCAGAGCATCTAAAATCCTCCATATGTCATTTCTTCGAAAGTCTACCGACAAGACAATGCCCAGTAGTGGCGGGTTGTGGACAGTGATCCAACGTGGAAAATATAACGATATTCAGGTCACAATGAAGATGTACTTGCCATCCTCTCACATTGACACCACCTACAATGAAGTAGCGAAACTAAGGTAATTTCTTAATTTGGTTTCCATCTTAAAATAGCAAATTATAATACAGTTTTTGATATATCAACACCATGTCGAGATGTTTTTCTTTCATAGCAACTGATTATTAGATTTTGCAACTTTTTCCACACTTAGGTTCCTCCTCAAAGACACTATGGCACTTTTAGAGGGTATACACTACTCGGACGCACCCCCTCCAGTCTTCATCTTCCAGGATCATCTGTACACTGTGTCGGAATACCTACCGAAATGGCCGGGTCACTCCAAATACAACAAGTTGACAGTCATCAAACAGACGATGGATGGCTTGGCCTACCTCCACAAGCACAGACTGGTACACATGGAACTTTGCCTCGATACTGTCACTGTGAGTCATTTTTCTGATCACATCAGCAGTTACATATTATCAGATTATGTACGATGGCTATGATTAAGTAATAACGTAACAAATATAAAATAAAACATGACAAGACCAACATGTCAACATAGTAACCATCCAAACTCGATTTCTATAAAACTAAGGCAAAACATAGACCAAAGAAATATACACAGGCTCCTGAAAAAACAGGTGTTCTAGACCAATCCAAGTATGTAAAAGAAATATACACACAGACAAACTAACGAGCATCAAACACGTCCAATATAAACACGAAAGTGACTTTTAAAAGTAACGTCCAAGTCAAAAGAGGAAAATAATATAATACATATGTCAAATGAGACATGTAATAGACATGACTATCCATGTGCGTTTGTGCAACAAGAATGTTTATTAATTACCATACGATAGATAACGTTGTGCTGTCGTTTCTCTCCTTCATATAGGTCAGTCGAGCTGGGGAAGTGAAGCTGACGGGAGGGTGCTTACCTAGAAATTTCGAGCAACCTTCAGAAACGGAAGTAGTTGGCAATTTTGCCTATTTGTCACCAAACGTCTTAAGAGGAAGCATATACTCAAAAGAAGCCGATCTCTACGGTCTTGGTCTTCTGATGTTTGAATTACTACTCGGCGTGAGGGCATTTGGGTCTCATCGCAATATGTTGCTGATGAAATTCATCAAAAATGATGATCTACTATCACTGGTTGATCCTGAAGAAGACATGAAAAGGTTGTCATCTGATACCACGGACTTTATCTGGAATTGCCTCCGTCCTACACAGGGCAGAGAGAGGTTCCCAAGTGATCATGATATTGAACGAGCACTCAGTGATATTCGACAGGAAAATGTGGACATAGTGCATAAAGCACCAGAAGGATTTAGCATGGTCGTCGAGAGAGATGAACGCTGAGTATTGCTTCATTTGTGATTGGCTATGACATGTCATGTTAGTTTTCTTTTTTACCCCTCGTACAATCAATAAAACTTTTGTTGTGTCAGATTATTATATATGACGTCATTATCAGATTGAGTGACATTGGAAGATTCTCTATACATTTTGGATCATTTTCAGAGGATGTCGTATTTGGGTTTTTTCCCAACTTGTTTATATCAATATCGTCTTATATCTGTCTTAACTAACAATGAATTGTATGTAAGTCTTTTCCAATCATTATTGTCAGATCAACGCTGGCGTTACTCTGCCTTGTCAGGTTTCAAGCAATATTTTTGTGTGGTGTTAATACGTCTGTTTCACGATTTTGATGTTTTGGTGACAGGTCCTTTCTTGAAACTCGGTTGATTTACAGCCGGTTCAAATATGATATTTTAAACAATTAAATATTTTCTAAATCCATTCACAGTCAATATCATTTGCCTACTGGCAAATCTTATGCTAGGGTTTCATTTAAGATCTGCCAGTAAGACATCTTGAAATTATACCGACTATAATTCTTCATTATTATTATTTATATTACCCGGAACATTTTGGGCACGGTTGCATCGCTCAGATATCATAAACGGTCCGGTGTTCTCGACATAATCAGAGAAGAGGGGATGACTATGAGATAGATTTGCTGATATGAATAAATAGACGTGTACATTTGAACAACAATCGACTGTTTCATTCTGGATTATTTTCAAAAAATGCATTCACTATAAAGGTTTGTTTTGATCTGAGCTGTCATAAAACTTACTTTGGTTTTCTCTTGAAGTCATGTTTTTAATTTTTTTTTTTTTAACTTTTTACGAACATATCGAACGAAACTGCGATTGCTGGTGGGATTTTTTTCGTCGCATTTTAGGATCTGTCTGTCTGTTTTTGTTTTTGTTTTTTTATTATTATCATTATTAATATTTAGCTGGTCAAGTCCAAAGGACCAAATAAGTTTTATGGCGCAATGTCAACCAAACGTCGTCATTCCGCTCCCCTAGTTTGTTGCCTATTAACTTTTAGTTTGAACGAAATCTGGTTTCAAAGCTCTTGGACAGATTTCAATCAAATTTAACAGATGTTGTCGTGGAGGAATGGATATCCATGAATGTACAAATTAGGTATCTAGGCTGGGAGAGGAGGCGGGAACAAACGGGGTCAAAATAACTCCATCACTTTATACGGTATGACAAACTACATAGCATATCTCAAATCAAGTTGATCAGCGTTCTTAGGAGATGGATAGTTGAGATTGAACAAAGAGTGTTCAAATTGCATTTTCCTTATCCATCAAATCACCTACTAGAAATCAACAAACTTTAATTGGTGCACCATAGGAATAAGAATTTACACTATATAGATAAAGGCCCATATATTTGAACTTCACTCATTTTACAACAATTAGGAATTAAATTATACAAAATTGTAATGATCACTCTTGTATGACATGATGGAAACGTCGGAGGGGTTTTACTGTGGGAGGAAATCGGAGTACCCAGTGAAAACCCACTTGGTCGGGCAGATGACCCCAATGCCCTTCAAGTCCCTTCCGGGAATCGAACCCCGGACGCCTACGTGAAAGTTGAGAGCGTTATCAATGCCTTACCCGATCACCTTTATCTTACCCTCATTGAGGCATTCGGGCGGAATTAAAAGGATAAAATGAAGTTTTCTGAAAAGGCAAATTCTTAGAAGCTACCGTGCATACAACTGTAGTTCAACTGGGCAGTATCGGTTTCAAGAAACTGGAATCGATCCAATTTGCAATTTTCAACAATTTGACCATAGATATTCGCCATTTTACCAAAAAGCAGTCTAGGCACCATGGGAAGTGGGGTGGAGATGGACAGGGCATAATGGGTCAATTTGACTTAATTAACCTTTTAAAGACATTCCTCAGAAATCATTGTGTTGGAGACACTATCATATCACTAGATTATGTTTCAATAATGTTTACTGTAATGAGTTGGTTAGAAGCATTCACATGGTGATAAATCAAGGACAGAAATATCAGCATTTCATTTTTTTAGAGACTGCAGTTACAGACTCCAAATATTGCTACTGGTTGTCTACTGACGTTAAGATCAGTGTAAATGTTGATGGTCACATAGATTAAATATGGAGTTTTTAATAGTGACATTCTGATTCTAAAATGATTATGTCGTATTGATTGTGATATTAAGCCTGGTGAGCGATACAGGTCCGCTGAGCCTTTTGCTTGTTTGTGTTTTCTTCAGCTTTACAGTTTCCTTGTTAAAGATGCAATACATGATACACCATATGTGTTATGATTTAGTCATTTGTATCAACATAGATATATGTGTGAGTGATCTAAGGTGCGTTGTAAGGGAGCGTGTGTATATATATATATTATGATATACTATGATATTCGGTGAATTCATCGTGCCATATAGGACTGATATTACGGCGTCACAATGGAAAAATATTTAATGAACAAATATACAAATATTACCTTTTGTGAAAACAAATGTTGGTTTTTCTGTCATTTGTTTCTTTTTCATCGGCATTATAAAACTTCTCACATGTTATTTATTTCGGCGATAATCCTTTATTAATCTCACAGGTCATTCAGGATACCGGACAAGAAGCCTAATCAATTCCTTCTAGAAACAAAGCATTTATTGAATAAAAGTTTTGTCCCTTTGTCCCTGTCCAGTATTTGTGTAACTTGTTGGACTGAAGTTTTACGAAGTGGTAGCCGAGTCAGGTCTGACGATATTTCTAACATCGTGTGTGTAAAGTAGATGATGGGTAATGGAGGCAACTACCGAATATTTACGTCCGTTTATTTTTCAGAGGTCACAGGCTCCAATCCCGATATCGCTGTAACCCCTGGAAACTCGAGGACGAGTTATTTCCTGGAGGGGGAGTATATAATCCTGGTAAAATACTAGCCGCAATATACCACTCGGCTAGAAGAACTCTTAAGATCGATTGGTTGAGCGTCAGCTTAGTAAGCCAGGGGTCCCGGGTTTGATTCCTTGCGGAGGCATTCATTGAGATGAAAATGACCTCTGGCACATTTGTAGCTCAAACTTCGCTCCCCTGTCAGAATAGAGGGAATGAATTACTAAAACTCTTAAATAGTTTATCAGCTCTGATTGCGATAGTAAAGAATAAAGTCACACGAGCAAGTTTTCAAAGGCAATGAACACACAACTAGGCCCATCGAATTATAATCCCTTTGTGGCACATCTGTAAATAGTTGTCTGTTTGGTATCAAACTTCATTATTTGGATATTTATAAATCATCTGGTGGTTGATATCGAAACTGTACTCAGAACAAAAATCGGTGGAAATTAATATTAGAAATATGTTTATTCTTTGGCTATTTATAGATCGTCTCATGGTTTATATCGAAACTGTACTGTGTACAAAAAACTGGGGCAAATGATATTATAAATATGTTTATTCTTTGTATATTTCGAGATCATCTCATAAATTATATCGAAACTGTACTGTGTACAAAAATTGGTGAAAAATAATATTATAAATATGTTTATTCTTTGTATATTTAGGGATCATCTCGTGGTTTATATCAAAATTATGTGCAAAAATGGGTAAATAATGTTGATTTTTTTTCCCTTCTTCATTCTTGTCATATTTATTCCAACGTTTTATAGGCATTTTTTTACCGGCCTGGAGTCGATAACGTGTTTGATACTTGTTGTTTTGCATTGAAGCAATGAATTACTTTTAGCTTTAATTTGTTAATGTGCTATTTACATTTTAATAAAGAATTTGTCCATGTAAACGTAATGTTGTTTTTTTTAATCATTTTGTTACATATTAAGACAAAAGAATAGTTGTTGAAGTAAGAAAAATTAAACTACACAAAGAAAAGAAAGCCAGTTCATACACCGTTCTCTCTGAACCAATACCCTGTTCCAAGAGAAATATGGTCATTTTATAACACTCTTGGAAATCAATACTTATACGGATACAAAACGAATTCTTCCATATCAATGGAAAATCCTAACATGTATGATAATTTATTATATTCATTTTCAAACGAAAACTGAGCGATTTAATTTCGAGACATTATATTGGAGATCAGAAAGGAAAGTATTATCCATGTTTCCAATACATTGCTGATATGATAGGGAAATTAGATACCCGGATTACTGGGTGACTGCAGAATGCAGTTGCATAAACATACGTGAACTGCACAGTTCATTACAAATTAAAAATTAGTTACAGTGGGTTTCGGGTGGCTGGATGAAGAACTGGGCTACTGGTGGCTGGTTAGTGAAAAACAGATGATGTATGGTTGTTGGGCGGTAGAGAATCCGAATAGGTAGTGGCGCGGTAATGGCAAACTGCATACTGGTAGCTGAGAAGTGGTAAACCCGAATTAACGGTGGCTCGATAATGGAAAACTGCATACTGGTAGCTGAGAAGTGGTAAACCCGAATTAACGGTGGCTCGATAATGGAAAACTGCATACTGGTAGCTGAGAAGTGGTAAACCCGAATTAACGGTGGCCCGATAATGTAAAACAGGATACTGGTAGCTAAGAATTGTTAAACCCGAATTAATGGTGGCTCTTTTGTGGAAAACCGGATACTGGTAGCTGAGAAGTGGTAAACCCGAATTAATGGTGGCCCGATAATGTAAAACCGGATACTGGTAGCTGAGTAGTGGTAACCCAATTAAAGGTGGCCCTTTTATGGAAAAAAAACGTAGTGGTAGCTGATGAGTAGTAAACCCGATTTAATGGTGGCCGGATAATGGAAAACAGCGTTTTCTTCAAATGTTCTTGACATAATGGGCCAAATAACACTGAGGAAACTATAGAGTATATGATCTGTAAAAGATATGCTGCAAAAATTTTATTCCGGTATGTCTTCTTCAGTAGAAGGTTCTAAAGTATTTTAACATACTGACCCAAGTGATCTTGAAAGTAGGTCAGGGTCATTTAAATGAGAGTGTTTACAAGTATTCCATCTTAGGTACCTGCCTATCAACTACCTGGACCCACGAGAAAGCTTTTAAATATTCAATACCTCTACAAAAGTGCAAGTTATCAGAACTTGTTTCGGAATCTCATTTCCAGTAATGTAATGAAGTGTTGTTTAATGACATTTTTGATAATGAAGTAAAGTTAACATTAATTATTCAATATACTTGATCTTTTTTTACCTCATACGTTGGTCAAGATCATAAATATATAAGTAAATTTCCTAGCATTCCATTTCTAGTCAAATTAAGAATCCAGTTGCTAAGAGTGTCCACAAGAAGCTGTTCAAGAGATGGACAAGACATGCTCAACATACCATAAGCTCGCTGGTACTTCATGCAGTGTGAGTGAAAAATCATGTCTCCCTTTGTGAGTAAATTTTCAAAAGACTAATAAAGATTACTATCTTATTAATATTAAGCTTTGTATCAATATTTTGTCTTTCTGGAAATCAACAACTTTTTGAAAATTAAGCATGTAATATACATAACAATAGAAGACAATGGTGCATTTTGTTTTAAATACTTTATATAAAAATATAACAATTTGCATACACAAACATATGGGAGACATAATGTGTGGATGTTTATTCTGAATTTCTTCAATACAATGCAGTAAAAATTACATCTCTATGGACAAAAATTCATGTGGATCCTGCCACTTTTTTAAGAATTTATAGATCTATCAGATCTTTTAGTTTACAACGGTCTAATTATCACAAATTTGTCATCCTAAATATACATATTACTTTTATCAGAATTGTAGAACAAAATTACAGATATCAAACATGAAAAAATTTTTTTTCCAGTAGGTGAAATTTTTAAATTGTATTGTTATTTGAAATGTTTAGTTCTGTAATTCATGTAAACTACCCCTATGTTAACTGCACACAAACCCAAGGGAGACTACTCTTCAGAATATGAGGTGACTGTACAAGCATTCCACTTTTGTTGTGTATTGAATCAAATCAATAAAATCACCAATGAAATATATGACAATATATACCAATGGTATCTATAATAGGCCAAATATCAATGTAAATTCAGACTTGTACATTATAATACACATTCAATATATACAAACATTACATGAAACAAAATTCACACAACACAACAATTCAGTGATGTATAAATGAGCATGAATTTTCAATACAGATAATTACGTTTGCATTATATACTGATAATAGTGTGTAAGGTAAAATTTGCAGATGAATATCCTACCCTAGCACTACAAGTGCAAAAAATAACACATGGCTGTATTACCTTAGATCTGTAATACCTCATTTGCTACATTTCAGTTTGAACTATTGCTAGGAATGATATTAATATAATCAATTCAATGTTTTCTTAAGAAAGGTTGGATAGATATGAGATTGGCCTTTTTACAGGTGATAAGAGCATCTTAATCCTGTTATTTTCTACCAAAAGCAAACATGCAAAAAATAAAAAATGATATTCCATGAAAACGTCACAGACCATCATTCTACCACCGGACAAATTTGTTCATGTGCTCAATACTTCTAGAGAATAAACTTGAATGTACATGTAAAACACCGAAATAGAGGAAAAAAAATATCTATACAAAAATTTTATTTTTCCAACAAATATTTGTTTTACTGTCTCATAAACTTCTTAAGAAAAAAGCTTACTCCTCTGTAGCTCTTTGTAACAAATTTGGAATGTATAGAGATGCATTTGTCCAAATGTCGTGCATTTTTGTTAATCAGTCTCAGAAATTGTCACAAAGTATAGGACAGTATCAATAGGAGACAACTGTGACAATTTTTCTTAGTTTAAAGCAATATATTTTAGTGTCTTCAGTTTTTTTCAAACAAATATCTATCTATTATCAGCAATTTTGAAACACCATCAGCAAACAAATGCTTTATATACTAATTTTATTTGTACAACTGAAGGTTGTTCTCTTTATAGATTTTACTAATACATTTAAAACCGTTAACTCTTAAGAAACCACATATGTTTATACAAGGCAGTTCTTATTCTGAAGACTGCTTGTGAAATAACATTATTGCTAAGCAAAGTAAAATATGTTTAACTTGCATTTTTTGTTAATGGAAATGCAAAAACAAATCTGGTACATGTTGTTTCTAATGTCATAAATGTATCTAATAATTTCTTTAGCAAGAAAATCATAACCATGGACAATAAATTTCAAATCAGTTTGTTAGCAGCATTATAGCTAATGGAAAGACTTCTGAATATCAACCTGAAAAATTCATCACATCAGAAATTTACAGGCGAATATCCTGATCCCGGTCATAAGCTTCGAAAACTTCATCCTTATTGTCCACTTCATCTTGACTGTAAGGAGTGTGGAATGTACTGAATGGTTGTGGCTGTTTCTCTTCTTCTGGATACATGACAGGATTGACAAACGAACCGTTTATACTGGCATTGTATCCACCGTTGGCTATGGCAACAGCTGAAACAGACATCAGAAAATTATTCAGATATTAACAACTATATTAAAATGTTCAATAAATATTCCATTATTTAGTATTTTATCAATAGAAAAAGTTGATCGATCAGCTAGAACCAATGCTCAATGGAATTTTTTTTTTAAATATACATGTATGTATGATTTCTTAATATTAGAAAACTCATTCTAATTAAAACCATACAAATTGACACTAAAGACAAAAGCAGAAACTAAAATATTTTAGCATATGAATATAACAATAAATATTAGGAAATAAGGTTTTCCATCAGCTGAACAAACCATGTATGTAAACCTCTGTCTCATATAGGGAAAAGCAAATAATTTGATTCCATGAAATTCATATAACTGTTGTATGACTTTGACCTATCCATAACCTTGACAAATCTGTCTTGACCTTGACCAATTCTGACAAGATATGTCGCTATTAAATAGAAACAGAATAACCAAATTTTTTATTTCATCTTTTTCTAATTTTTTTTCCTTGTTAAGTATTTCCATCGAACATGATATAAATCTTGAAACAAATTCTGACTTTCAATTTCTTTAAGACATAAAGATAAGACATGAAGAATCCTTCCTCCTACGACACTTAGCCATGCACTTTTACAGGCACTTGTTATAGTTGCACTTGCATTAAGCCGTATTTACTACCGATGAAGGGAAGGTGTGAACGACACACTTACTATAGTATTGAACAAAGTATTGATACTATTGTATTGAAGTATTCAAATAATCGAGTCAAGTATACAACGACCTCTGTGATTGGTCGGGGGCGGAGTTTAGACAACCTGAATAGTTGATCTGACACCCAATTTGTTCCGGTAGGCGGAGTTAATGTACACTATCAGTTACATAACAAGTACTAAGTAATCGCTGGAAAAATGTCCGACGACGGCAACAGTACGCAAAATTTTCTTCGACGAAATTATGTCCGATACGAACGATATGGGGAATCCTGTTTTTGTACAAGGCGATGTGGTTGTGATGGATAATTGTGGATTCCATCACCATAGACAGGGAGAGCGCATTTTAAGAAATATGCTGAAAGAATATGGCGTGTCCCTGGTTTTTCAGCCGCCTTATTCCCCGGAATACAACGTAACTGAATATGTATTCAATGTCATGAGACAGAGGCTTCGGGCAAATATACCCGACTTGTGTCAGAATTTCTGGAACTTGCAGTAGTAAATGCTCTAGATATTCCGCCCAACCAACTTCAAAGTTTTTTCACATGTTGCGGATATGTATAATTTTCGATGGAAAGATAAAAAATAAAATAAAAAATATATGGGACCACAGAATTCCTTTATTTTTTAATGCAGTATGAATTATCGGCATATATCAGGAGGTCCCAGGTAATTCGTAATTCTTTGTTACATATAATAGAGCTTGGGCTTAAACCGAAATATTTTGAGCCAACCCTCCCCCCCCCCCTTCAAAAAAATAAATAAATAAATAAAACTAGTACAGAATGACTATGTGACTACATTCACTGTTAAGATGTTATGAATTCTCCGGTCCCAGTGATCTAACCTGTTGATATATATTTTGTACGTAAATTAGTTTAGTACTGAGTAACTTTCGTTTTCTCGTTGTACCATCGATGGAAAAGCAAAGTATCATTGGGTGTAGAACGAAACAAATGGGACAACCCAATTAGGTCTGATCTGAAGCCACCTGTGACTTGGACTCTTCCAATTAACCTCTCGCGACAGTCGAGTGTTTGTAAAATGCCGATGTCTGCACAGTATTTTTTCACCTGGCTCCACCCACAATCGATCTAGACTTGGCTCTGCCAACCAGAGAGCTTGTTGCATAAATTTAAGGAATTCGATTGGTGAAGTACTTCAATACAATACTATCAATACTTTGTTCAGTACTACAGTACTTGAAACGTTCACACCTTCCCTTCATCGGTAGTAAATACATGTGATGAAAGCTTTTTTCTAAAAATAAAAACCTGCAAAGAACATGCATGAGCTACCACCCCATGGATTTAGCTTTTAGACAGACATGCTATCACTTATAAATATATATCACACAGCATCATTTTTTTTTCGAATATACATTGTTTTGGTTTCATCAAAAGTGACAACGAAAAATCGGGAAAGTGAGCCCTTGCAGGTCTAATATTTTACACAAACATACTTCATTATTAGAAAATGACAATCGTTAAACAATCGTACAGGTTGAAACACAAACGGATAATAAAGTATTTCAATATTTAGGTGTACCTAACAGTAACGTTTTGTTATATAAGCCAGCATATTTACACAACTTCACAAGTTAACCTTCCTTGATAACAGTAAGATAATCCCTGTGTGCTTAAAGTGTATTATCACTGTGATAAAAATGTTCCCTATACATAAAGCACCTGGACTATGTACTTCAGAGCCTAGTCATCTTTATGATACATAATCACAAATAATAACCACCTTCCATTTTTACAGAAATCTTGCCATTCAGAATCAGGCCAGTTTTACCTGGATGATATTTGATAATCCAATGAAATACAGTTGATTGCTATTTTTCTAATATTTCTCAAGGACAGAATAAAAAATTCAAGTTAATGTAACATACCACATACCTAAGTAATAAAAGCAGCTTTCCTCTTTAGAATGGAATGTGAAGATAACATATAATTCATTATTTCTCAAAGTGTTTGCTCTTTGTTTTTCTAGATGGAAGACTGACATAATTGGTGATGGACAATTTTAGTGTAAATTTAACTTAAAGGAAGTCTGTGTAGAATGATCACTATTGACTTTCTCACAAAGGTACCCTTCATTGTACCTTCATCTCTGTGAACAAGTGATCATCAACAACACATAATCTCCTTTATCATCTCATTATTTACAGATAAATTTAATATCCTGATTGCTGATATAATGCCCATCAACCAACATTATGACTTTCACATGGGATTGTCAGATAAAAACAATACTTTCTATGCATATATATCTGTGTGTCTGATAGATGTGGGCATGTATATGGTGACCATGGAAATTATCTTGACGGGTCTGATACAAAATAAATATTCCTTCGAAAGTTTGAAGTCCCTTTAAACATTTCTGTTCATCTATCACAATAAAGTGTTAACATGCATATATTATACCTGTACTGAACAGTACTGTAACCCCTACCATTTAAATCGACTGGGGGAGTCATTCTTTGGTGTATATGTATGTACAGTACACTGCATAGTCTCAAAAGTAGAGATAAATAGATTTGCTATCAATAATTTTTGAGAATTCAATATTTGAGACCTGGACTCATACTTTTCCTGTGAGGCTCATTCACATTATGAGAACCCCATACATCGCTTTGTAATGGGACATGTCAAAATTTTAGAAATGGCAGGAGCTCTGGGCTCACAAAAAAAATCCTACAAAAATTGCTGGTTATTACTCTGGACCAGAAAATGTAGTTTTGGAAGTGGGTTTTTAGCAGGAGGAATAAGGTACTACACACTTAGTTGTACACTGTACATTTTGCTGTCCATCCAACATGTTAATTAGGTTTACATAGGTATCTTCATAGTCAATCTATTGGGAAAAGTTGATGTAGCATATCATAGCCATTTAACAATGCATTTAATTGTTAAATTTCTGGGTGACCTGCCTATTTCAAGACACATATGACTATACTTTATAAATTGTAATAAAAACCTTTCAACAAAACAAGTGATAAACAGAAGTACAAAACCTTAATGCACAGGTCCCAATTATTCACAGCTTGATTAACCAGTGGTTAATGAAAATTTCAAAATATGAATCAAACATAATTAGCATATTCTTTATCATTTAATCTGATATGTTTTGTATGTCATTTGAACTTTGAAAGTGATTGGGTTTTTTATGGTAACAATTGAAACTTTTCATTAACCATTTAATAACTCCAACCAAGCCCTGATCATCTGGGGCCAAATATCAAAAGATGTAATAAATTTTAACCTACAGGTAATCAATATCGTAAAAGATGATATCATCTAATCTCGACTAAGATTTTAAAATATTAGACTGAGACACAAAACATACACAAATTAGATATATTTTCCACTTTAGTATATGGTAGACATAAAAGGTTTATGATCTAGACATATATATATCAATGTACACATAATTTCATTATTTTAACCAACAGATGTTATAGACTTGTGTATAAGTTTAACCCTGAACAGGAAGTCCATCAGTATTTTGGGGTTCATTACAACATGAATCAGGGTTTATTTCTATAAGAAGGATGTTGATATCTCTACACATACTAAATGTACTGCATGCTTCTCACATTTGGATCAGATCAAATAAAAAAGGGAGACTAATTTCCTCTATTAGGGTATATCTAACATGTATTGAAGCAAAATCTTTTATTTACTTCTTCAGTTGTAACAATATTATACAAAGCAAAACGTGCAGAACAACAAATGTGCAGGGATTCTATAAAATAATCTTTTATACACTATTGATTTTTTACATCAACTCTCAAACACAGGGACCAATTGTAATGCAACTAAAATTGCTAAACAATTGATATTCATGTATTTTTCTCTTGACACCATTTTGTACTGCTTGACCCCTGCATTATCCAACTAGAAAATGTCTATAAGGCAAGATAAGACCTTGTTCTCATGCATGTAAGTACATGTATCAATTTTTGAACAAATTTCTATATAAACGAATTGGTGACTTTGATCTTGAAACCCTGAATCTAAGATACTGTCACTGGTAAATTCTGCATAAAATTTTATCAAAATCCCTGAGGACAGACTGGGCAGGACAGACTGGGCAGGGCTGGGCAGGACATGGGTAAAACACTAATACTAATATTAACTGATGGGGGAAAAATAAAATAAGTAACCTGAATCTGTCAATCACTTCTTAATTACATACTTTGTTGAAATGTTTTTGTTCCCGATCAAATCAGCTCATTATTTGACTTCTTGTACTGCAGGTGTATCAACTAATACATAGTGAATTGTCAGACAGTTTACATATTTAACACTATGGCAGATGTTAGATGTTAGTTGACGTATAATTAGTTGGTAATCTATCTATTATCTCAAAGTTAAGGATTCTTAGTCCAAAATAAAGAAAAGGAAGAGTTCACAACTTGATTTATTTTCAGTTTTACCAGTATTTTCAATCTTAAAGCATCCTAAAACGTCTGAAACCTATCAGAACCAGAATCCAACCACAGAAATACTTATCGTGAAATAACAGTGCTTAGAGAGATGAAATACTTTTTACCTAATTAACTATCACTAAACCTGAGCCTTTATGAAATTCTAAAGTATTATTTTGAAGGGTTTCTTTCTGATATAAAATTTTCACTTCTTAAATTCCATGGAGTTTCCAAACTTAAATATTTAATGTTTAAGTTGGACTAAGAATCCTTACAATAATTAGAAACACAACTGTGGACATGTATGGCACAATATAATGTTTAACCTGTACTGCACCTCAATGATATGCTGAAATAAAACAGATCAATATTTTAATTCCACTGAAACATCCCATTTCAGGTTATATGGAATGGTTCACCTGGAAAACAACCTGCACAACCATCAAGTATTGCTGCAGAATCTTTCTATTTTCAATGCCATCTTTATGATCCAAAGGGTTTGCTCTCAATACCACATGTCTATCTATCTTGCATACTAAAATTTTCCTCTGAAAGAATGAAACTCCAGCCAGGCCTAAATGCCAACAGGTGGACAACAGGTGTTTAGAAGCTTGAGAACAGTGATGGAATCCTGTAAACTCTCAGGGTAAATTATCCTTTGATGATTGATAAAACTGACTTGTGTAACAACATGAAATGGTAAACGACTAACTAGCTTTGATTTTAAGGTACTTAAACATTTGAATATCCTCCAAGCACTGTTCCCGTCTTCTATCAGACGGCTGATGGATCAGATTGTCTATTTTGAACCAGTCAAATAGCTCTAACCCAGAAATATTGGACTCTGTCATTAGAAAAATAACAGAGTGCAGAAAAGACATGTTTACTGAAAATATCAAGAGTACAAACTTGGATTTGAAGAAGCATGATTATTGTATTGTTAACCCCAGGCTTTCCAGTAGTAAAACTCCAATATCCTTTCATCCTATCATATTCCCATGTACTTCCATTTTAGTAAGCATTAATGTTCAGCTTAGAAATAGATAAAAATGGTTGCTTCATCTTACTAAGATCTTTCATTAGATTCTGGGAAAATACAGGATTACATTAGTATCGAAATGCACACTTACTTAGTAATAAGAAAGTCTTGTAAGCACACTGATTCAATTTAAGTTGATGGGCAAACGTTTGTTAGTTAACCATATATTGAGAAAAACTCTGAGATGAGCCTAAGGTATCAGAATATTTCATGACTTCCTTTATACTTTCATTTTTAAATGTTATTAAATGAAAAATATCAAAAAGTGTGGGAATATTATTATATTACTGTAAAGGCAACAGACACCACATCTTTTCATGAAGTCACTGAGATACAGGTGTGATAAAAGAGAGTTTTACAATGCCATTTAAAATCTAAAAAGAGTCTAGATAATTTAGACTCTAGGAAAACAGATGTACATGATATCACTCTACATATGTAAGAAGCACTTTGATAACTTTTGTTTCTTGGAAATGAATTAAAAAATCCGAAGATTTTATATGTCAGTGCATTGGTGAGATTGGCAGAAATAGACAGATACTTGTACGATATGATATTGTTTCCCTCTCATCTACACAACTTTATAGCAAATGAAATAGAGAAATCATTGAAAGTACTAACAGAGGAATATTTCTTACATAACAATCATGTATTTCTGAATCACTTACATTTTTCCTCTTTATACTTGGGCAAGAGGTTAGCTTGACGTTTAGCTAACATGAAGGCAAGGAATGACAAAACGAAACCATCGAAGATCAGCACAATAGATAGAATGAAAGCCCATCTCATGTTACATCTCCCCCAGTTGTATTTGGCAGCTTCCTTTCCACAGACTTTTCGGACCATTGGGTCATCCCAACCACTTGGATAAACAATACACCCAGTCATGATACAAAGGGCTGAAGTAATAAAACAGATTAAGAGTAAACATGCATTATACAAAAATTTCTAAACTAAAATCATCTTCTAAACGGGAGTCAATTTTTTAAAAATTGGTCTGTGAAAAAGTCATATGCAGTGATTTTGGTGTATCGCATAAATGAGCAGATTTAAAACAAAATTAAAAAAAAACAACTTTAAATTTTCCAAAACATTATTTTCCAAGATAATGTTTCAGGTGACTGAACAACAATCTTTTCTTCTCCACTCCAAGGTAGTTTTACTTAGAACATCCCTAAAATCATTTGTTCCTGTACTGCTAAGTTGTTAAAAGTTTCTCAGTTGTTTTTCTAAATGTAGAGGAACTTATTTGAGTTTCCATTCATGTAAGATTTAGAAAACAAGATCAAATTTTTTGTTTTACTGAGCCTCTACTTTGGCAAAATACAAAATTGTAAAGAGTTCCATAACTTAAATCATTTTGCATATATACTTGAAAGTAGCATTTTATAGTGAGCATGACACCCTTAAGTTATGACATCACCATGAAAACAATGGGAATCTTCAGCCCATCACGGCTCCTGTGGTTCATATTACACATGTAATAACAGAAATGTATGTGGTGGACAGTATTACACTGACAACATGGTAGTATATATCTTCCTTATACATATAATATTATCAAATAGTCTGATAATAGCAAAAGCTTGAACAATAACAGTATTATAATATATTCAAGTGTTTTCCTCTTGAGAACAGACAATACTGTAGAAATCTTAATTATGTTTATATATGTAGGCCATGCATGGGCTAATGTATTCATATTCAAATCCATGAACATAAAGACTGCCAAATATTTTCTGTTGTCTATCTGTAACAAATCTCTGTATAAAACACATTTTTTGATATCTTAGCTAGCTATAGAAATTCAAAACATTATTTTTTTTACCATGCAGGATATACATGTTCCGGAGTTTTGGTCATGCAAAATTTGTTCTTTGGGTATGTAATTTAAATGTTGTAAATAAATTATACTTACAAGCAATTAATTGGAGCCAGCCACAGATCTTGAGGACTTTGTCTGCTTTGAGGAAGAAGAAGAGGAGTAGGCAGACAACACTGACGATGAACAGAAGTGCCGAAATGCCTACAAGCATACTGGCAGCACGGAAGGAATCATTAAGGATGGTGTCAAAACTCATAAAATCTCCTTTACAAGAATAATCTCCATCCACCTGTGGTAAACATACATTAATTGAATTTTAGAAACAATTAACTAGCTATAGAGTAACATGCAAATCAATCCTTTTTACTTTTTAATCTACTTTAGTGATTTCAGTAAAACGATATGGTGACATCCACTCGTTACAGTGATATCACCATTCATTATAGTGATATCTCCTATTCAGTACAGTGATATCACCTATTCATTACAGTGATATCACCTATTCATTATAGTGATGTCACCTATTCAGTACAGTGATATCGCCTATTCATTACAATGATATCTCCTATTCATTATAGTGATATCACCTATTCATTAGTTATATCACCTATTCATTATAGTGATATTACCTATTCATTACAGTTATATCACCTATTCATTATAGTGATATCACCTATTCATTAGTTATATCACCTATTCATTATAGTGATATTACCTATTCATTACAGTGATATCACCTATTCATTATTGTGATATCACCTATTCATTAGTTATATCACCTATTCATTACAGTGATATCACCTACTCATTATAATGATATCATTTATATCTTACAGTGATATCACAGTATAAAATATATATGTAGGGGTTTGGTGAATGTCTTAATGATAACACAAAACCAAATTGAATAGGTAATATTACCATTATGAATGGGTGATATCTCCAAGTGACATAGTGACATCACCTATTCATTATAGTGATATCACAAATTCATTATGGTGATATTACCAATAAAGTTTGAATAAGTGGTATCACCATGACGAATAGATTATATAAATGTAATGAATAATAGGTGGTATCACTATAATGAATCTTAATATCACCTAACTGTGTAGCAATATCATTTCAGAGGAACCGAAAGTAATATTGTACCCCTCATAGCAGAATCATCAACTAGTTGAAGGAGGCTATTACCAGCCACCTCTCTGTAGTGTACAGCTAATGATAATCAGCTCTTATTATTATTTTTTAATCTAACTGTTTATACAGCTGTCTGGCGTTCCGTTTTACTTTTCCTTTTTCGTGACATCCCTAAAACGATTAGGTGCTATCACCTATTTTTGGGTGAGAAATGAAATACTTTCTTTAATGGACAGGTATTGTTATTTTGGATTCTATACTGGGGCTGGTGGATTACATTTCATTATCGTTTTTTAAGTTGTTTATTTCAAGTAAACTATTTGATAACTTCCCAATAAATTATATAGACTTGTCAGTGCTAGTCTATCTTTTATCAAAGTCCGTGTTACAGATAATTACGGTAATTAACAAACCACTGGCCGTATCGTACGTACCTGTAACGTTTCGCAGTATTCATACAGCCCAAAGAATCCTACCCCCGGGGATTCCGTTGTATCCCCGAGCCACTGAGCCTGTACAAAAGCAACGGCATTGAGGATAGCGAAACAGACGGTGAGAATGGCCCACATGACAGTGATAACACGGGAGGCCCATAGGTATTTGTTGTGTCGCAGTTTGGTCACCTCCGTCGAGTAAGCAATTTCCCGACTCATTTTGTCGTTTTGTCCTTCCCAAATAACCCGATCGGATTCTGGTCTCCTCCCCCTCTTTCCTCTGGTGAGATGTTTGGGTGAGGTCTAGTTCTAGGTACTGGTTGACTTTCCTACCTCACTAGACAGGTGAGTTACTTACCTGGCTCAGGTGTAAACAAACACAAAAGAACCGGTTTGACGAGTCTATTTCTGTCACAAAACATGTACGAGTTGTCGTTCTTCGTACCTTACTTAAATGATTAAATTATAGGACACAATTTTAACACAAACGTGACTTAAAAAACGTTCATTTAATTTCTGTATAATGGATAACTATATTTACCAGCAGAAACACAGAAAGTAGTAACCTTCCTGGTATTTCCGAAGACGACACTATTTTTACTGAATTATCGAATTTTGATGTAAAAAGAAATAGGCTTAAACAGAGACTTACTTTTTTCTACTGTGGCTTGTCATAATCATTAGCGTTTCTTTAAGTACAATTATGGATAGATATCACGTGTGTGTGTGTGTGTGTGTGTGTGTGTGTGTGTGTGTGTGTGTGTGTGTGTTTTTATGCTGCCAAGTTAACCAGATTTTTTTTTGTATTTTTTTTTTACCGAATTTAGTTAACAAAAAGCAAAAGCTCTTAGCAGCTTATATTTCGACAAATAATATCAGCATAAAACAAGACAAAACTTTTATCACAATAAAACATAGACTAAGTAACATGACTTACATAAACATTGCGATATTTAACTTACAAGCAATTTCGCAAATTAAATAAAGAAAATAAGACCACAAAAATGAATAATTATAATTGAAAGCAGCACTGCAGAATTTAAACATGCACACTACTCCTATTAAAGAAAAAAAAATAAAATAAAATAAAAGTAGATGTTGAAACAAACTGCATAAGAAAAAGAATCTCAACATATCGCAAGCAATAAGTACCAAATATATACATACAACAAAAACATCATGCATGTGGACATCTTGTCGTTGCGACAGTGCCTAAAATGGAACAATCCATCATGAAAGAATGCCTGTAAATTAAACACGTTTTCATGTATTACTATTTCTCAATCTTATTTATCCGTTCAAACATTAATGCTTACCCCAGCCCCTTTTCCATTTTTCTTTTATAAATGTGACAAGACTAAATTGCATTTCGCACAGAACCATTTTCCCCTACCCCCTTTTTAACACGTCGTTATTTTATTTATTTATTTATTTTTTATATGTAGACAGTAAGCAAGCTTTTATGAGGGAAGTATATGAAATTGCTCCAATCAATTACTACTGAAAATAGCATTTGGATCTATAACTCGGCGAAACACTTACTATTCAGATGAAATTTTACTGTTGCATCGCATACGTGATAAATGTTCCTTTTTGTGTAGTGTCATAATTTCCAGTGACGTTACTTGTCATTTTTTGCGATTCTAGGTCGGGAAAGTTGTGCTTGTCGTGTGGTGTGATGGTTTTAATACTGTATAAAGCAAACAGGTTTCTGTTCCAATCCTTGGTATATAAATATATCACGTTCCGAGATAAACTGTTTTGTTAAATTGACATTTCTGGAAGTTCTATAGTTTTATTTCAGCTACAACCAACAACAGTTTCAAACCAGCATCCATTTATGCACATTTGGTCCAAATCTATACTTTAAAAATACTTGCATTATATTGTTGTAAATGCAACAAGTATAGACACAACGGTTTAAGATGTTTAATTTACCTGTAAAATTAACACCAGATCCAAGCTAAATATTTGCACCTCAACCATATCCGCCACCCTTTTCAGAAACCTTGTATTTGCCTCTGTGTACTCGATACAGTTTCCGTTTTTGGAAAGACATTCAGCCTACCATGGTTTAGCATTGTAAATCATCTTTTCCTTCATATCAGGCCAACGTTTTTTGAAACATTGAAAACAATTTGAAGGATTCTCCAACAGTTTTCAATGAACATTCTGTTTCCGTTTGAGTATAAAACTAGACGTGTTCGATTCTCTAGTAGGCGTAGTGATTTCTTTAAAGTATGGCGTTTATCCTTCTTACATGGATTGACCAAGAATTACATGGTGGGTGTACTTATCATCTGTACCTCGTGACAAAAATCGAGGAAGGGGTCGTAGTGCTCACGTACGTAGATATACTTTGGTCAAATTTCATATATCAGTCAAGCATTGGAATACCTCGCGCGTTAGTATTTCAGAGTGCTATTTTCAGAGTAATCCTTGTCAGCGTTTATGTGGCGTACATCTCTTGGGGAATAGTGGTTTCACATACATACCGATAGGGTCAAGGTCACCGTTCATGTTATTACCTGTATCCTTATCAGCACTAGAACGAATAAGAGTTTGAGGGTTGCACGGCAAAGGTCAAAGTCACCGTTACTATTTTAGAAATTCCTTATCAGTGCTCCAACGGCTTCATTTCTTGATGCAGTTTGGTAAAAGTTCACGATCTTCTAAAGGACCTTTAAATCGATTTTCAGAGTTGTAAATCGTTAATATTTCAAAAAGTCCTTATCAGTGTTCTGGCGGTTAATCAAACCTCATTCCGGACGACTTCAGAGTTTCAGGATTATATTCTCGAGGTCATCGTTACTTTGTTTTCAGAATTACTCACCAGCGCTATCGTGATTCATTCCTTATGAGACTGTGGTGGAATCACAAGCAGATTTGTATCGTCTTCCTTGTTCGATTTGGAGTTCCAATAAACTTTTTAATGTTTCAGTATATCATTATTTTTGTTCTTCTTTCTTATAGTAGGTATTCCCCAAGAGCCGATATGATGATCATGATCTATTACATGACCAGAGACTGAAATATATGGGCTGTGGGGTTTTCAAAATTTTGAAAAAATTTGAAAATCTGCCTATGATTTCAGGAGAGATTACACAGCAATCTTGGTGTAAAATCTTAAAGGTATGGCCATAAATCATTCTCTTATGAGGCTGCCCGGATGTTGAACAGCCTCCCAAACAAATTGCAGAGATGTGAATACTTTCCAGAATTCCGGAGGCTGATCCACACCTGGGATGGTCCCATTTGTTCTTCCTCGATCTGTGCGAAGAAGAATTGAGTGGTCTCTTTTGGCTGTTAAACGTTACAATTGCTTTTTAATGCTGTTTAGTCTGGTCAAGGAATTTGGTCGGTTGGGACTGGCACAACCACCTGTTCTTTGACCTTCAGTGATATTGTTGTTTTACTAGGATGTGTTTTGCTATTGTACCTTTCCTGTTTTATGTGTTTTAACATTAGTTTCTTTTATTTTTCTTACTCAACATTATTTTAACTATCAAAATAAGGTCTTGATTATTTCCTGATTTTTACCAAAAAACAATTTCTAAATTAATTAGTTTTGTGATTATAATCTACTTTTGTAATCTCATTAAGCTACAGTATTTTCAAGTTGTGCTATATACCATTAACTCACTGTGATAAATGCTATGATGATACTATGACTATTATATTATGCATGTTTAGTTGAATTTTATTTCACAATTCCTTCTGTGATACTATTCTTTGTCTTATATCTTTTTAATGCTTGTTGTAGGTCTTCTGAGCTGACGTTACATTTTATTTTGTACGACAAAAAACAAAATTTCTTGTATCTTGTCCAGTAAATGTTTTATATGAGCTGGTTAATATATGATTATTCACAAACTCTGTACTTATAATTAAGGGTTTACATTTTGAGACAGAAGGAATACTATAGTCGTATGGTAGTATGTAGAATCGAAGTTTCTTCCGGTACTCACCTGTAACTTATAAAATTGATCGAGGCGTGAACAGAGTGGATACAAGGAAGCGAGGATAAAGACAAAGAGAGAAAAGAAAGGCAAATCTACAGCATTAGCATTATGTATACGTACAATGTAGACTTTTAAATACTTTACTGTCTTTAACGAAATCAACGTAAGCCTGGCTCTCATAAATATACATTAATTGATTAATACATAACCTTTATAAAAACAGCTTTATGTTGTCTAACTCTGGTTTGAATATGGACTACATATCTTGAACAAAGGCGTTAAAAAACTTTACTAGGAACTTGGGCCCTTGAACAGTGTACTGAGAAAATGGGCCCCTGAACACTGTACTGATCACCAAAATTTTATGTGATGTAAGACTTTATGTTGTGGTACTAGGATATTAATATGGACTATCGATTGGGAGTTCATAATATATCTTTAACTAAAACGATGACCACCAAACTTAAAGGTATAGAACTACATGATGTGATAGTACGCTGTAAATGTTAACTAAAGGGTCCATCGATGATACCTTAATAGCTCTTTGGACTCTTGGAATAGCTTGGAAATTGGGAACTAATCCTAGTTTCAAACAAAAGCCAAGCTTCAACTTGAACTATATACATAATGGGATTACACGTCGTGTTTAAAGACGAATTATTCTCAAAGAAGATGATATTGCAGATATTATTGAATTTTAAAATGTAATGCGCTGCTCAGGAAATGATACATGACCAATGAGTGCTGGATACAATGCCAATTTGAGAGCTATGTATTGGATCGGCGGGAAAATGTGCATCGCGGGGAAGTCACGTGCTCAGACCAGAAGTTTTCAATGACGGAAACCGCCAAAAGGTGTTGGATCGCGGCGAATGAAACAGTGGTTACTGTTACGAAAACAGCGCTTTCATTGTTCAGCTGGATCATTCAATGTAAAGTGCTACATTTTACAGGGATTGTTTTATTTTTTGGTAGGTAAAGGATACTGTTTCAATATGGACAGAACTCAGCGACAAGTCATGATAAAGGCAACAATCGTTTTGCATAATATTTAGGCTAGTTTAAATATGGGTCCATTCACGAAAACACTGACTTGTCTTCAGTTCATTAGAGGGATCTTAGATACTTATCAATCCCATTCAATCAAAATCATCGTATGAACGAGGGTCAGTGAAAGTTAACAAAAATGGCGTCCGTCTTATCAATGAGTGACGTCATGATATACGGAACGTTGCGTGGTATTTAATGGCGCCAAATATATGGAATAGTTGCACAAGCACGTGGTCAAAAGAGTTTTCGGTGTCGTAATAATTCTTGTCACAGGCTGCACGTGCAGCATTTACAATGTTTTTATTGTAATATGACAATTAGCGTGTGCAATTTCGCGAAACGTTTTTTTTTTCTTTCAAAATATTTTATTAATACAAAAACAAATTGCATTAATAGGATCGGACAGCAGGCATAAGCCTATATAAGTCCTCTCGCGAAACGTTCCAGCATGAAATGTCGATTTGTTGTAACCGGCGTTTTAGGAGCACGACTCCTACATAAGACTTGCTAAAATCAAGGAATACATGCCCTATGGAACTCTATATGATTATCTGAACATCACTTCTCTTCACTTGACTGAAACTAAAAAGTGCTTGGTCCATATATGAGTGAAAAAAGAAAACCGTCAAGTTACTGATGATTGAATGTTCCATAGGCCATATTTACTACAGACTCAGTTACGAATATTATATCTAGTGTCCGACTAGCGTGACAGAATCCATCAACCGATTTTCACTGTTGTGACCATAATCGGCTTCTGTAAAACATTATTATGGTGGGACTTAACAGTTCTGAAGATATGAAGTTAGAATGTAATGAAATGTGAGTTATAATAGAATATGTCTGAGACTTTAAAAAAAAAAAAAAGCATTATGTGTTACGATAAATACGGTACTTAGAATTTTTTGAAAATGCTTTCAGTATTACGATAGATACGGTAATTTTGCGGAAGTGTAGTTTTCCCAGCATGCAACTAAGCAACAAGACGCATGCGTACTCTGCGACTGATGGTAGAGTGAATGAAAATACGAGGATGAGCTCTAAAATTCCTCGTAAAGGTACTAATATAACGTTATTATTGAAGGATCTTATTTGATGGTAAAACTGAAATAATTGTGATTTACGCATTGCCATTTTTTCTTTCAGCGCTGGCCATCCAGAGCCGCAAAAAACGCTCTAAGGCTAAACCGCGGTTCAAGAATGATGATAAAAAGAGCACATCGTAAGTATTTTCGCCAATACATAACAAGAGATATGTTTTGAAAATACTGTGTTGTATGTTAGATCATATTTGTAATGTTTAGAAAAGATATAAGGCACTGACAATACCACCTGTCACCCGTATATGTCAATATACACTTGTGACTCATGTCGTTCGCGGTGTCTACCCAAATATTAAATACATGTGTGTATTATCGATTCAAACGGTGGCGAGAGTAACAAGTGAAGCTACTGTGTTGATTGATCATGTTTCCCAGTTGTTTTTGAGAGTACTCAAGAAAGAATTACGTTTGGAACCAATAACTCATCCATTTCTATCTTCGAGCACTGAATGGTGCCGTCAGTTCCTCATTGAAACACGTGTTATTACATTCCACTTCGACAGCTGATACAGAACATGTGGCGACTTGAGACATAACAAAAAGAAAGATACACAACTGTTGTAAACATAACCAGTCAACTTTTAATCCACGGACTATGAGTCAATTATTAGCTTATTTCTTGTGGAATACATTGTCATATTGAAAGTTGTGTGGTAATTTTGAATTATTTGCTCTACATTGTTTGATAATCATATTCAGTTTGGATGTAGTGTATCTAGGATAATTGCATTGAAGATCTTTTATCAAGGAAGTTCAATAATTTAGAAATGACAGTAGTTAAATATTTATGTGGCTATCAGTGTAACACTAGGCCATATTAATTTGCACCATTTGCTGTGTTGACTTCATCATTTAATATATTTAATTGATACACAACATATTTAATATTTGCTCTATTAAAAGGTCCTCTCTGACACTTCAAGGCTATCTTCTAGCTCCTCTGTTCCACAAATTCTGTTTACTGTTGACATATATACATTGTAAGCTTACGTAGTAATACCAACATAGTGATTTTTAGACCTAAATTATCTCTAAATTTCATATTTTGAATTAAAAACTATGATTAGTTCATCAGAAAAATTGTATGGAGATAATTAGGATAAATATGATGGCTTAAGTATATTTTCTCAGGTTTGAAATTTTTAAGAAGCAATCTTCCCCTGAAAATTCTAATACTACTCCAAGTCATGATTGCATCATTATGGCAGGTATTTTGAAGTATGAAACTTTAATATTTATGATCATGCCAATAGTTGTTCTTGACATCTCTAGAATAAATTGCATCCTTTAAAAAACCAAATTCAACTCTGTTTTGTGAATTCCTTTGATATATTTTACTACTGGTGAGAACACTGTATACCATATGTATCGATACTCCAATGTAGATTCATCAGGAATCTGGTCTTACTGAATGCACACTTGGGAATGTTGTGTGACCACCCCAGTGATTATTTATGGCAGTGTTTACACAATACTCTTGCAATGCTGTACACTGTCAATATACCACTCATTGATTTATATATTCACATGAGAGGTATTATAGTAGTACACATAGAATTGAATAAAAAATTTATAATTCTATGAAAGTAATGTATTGTTCAGATTATTTCATGGTGAATTATAGATTTTAAAAATGCACATGCAAAATATTTAGATATGAAGGCAACATTAGGAAAGAGTTCATTAGAGAACCTTTCTTTTGGATTCAATTTTTCTTTTGTATCATAATCACCATGGTGACTATTGAAAACCTATTAAGGTCAAACTGCTCAATATTTTCTATATAAACACATATGTTTGTTAATATGAATTTAGATATGAAATGATAAAGGAGACTTGATATTTCATGAAAAAACTCTTTGATGCTAGCATATATATCATCCCAAACTCCAGAGTGCCTATTACAACATTGATTTGATATTTCATGTGTAACACAAGGGAGATAACTGAAAAAGGAATGGTAACATATACAAATAGTTTAATTGAAAGCTATTAATGAATAAGCTCAGGAAGCAAAATTCAATTTTACCAGTGAAAGACAATATCTGTAGAACTGAAAAAATCAATTTTATCTATGATAGTCAATACCTGTTGGTTGCAGTAATGTATATGGACTCATGTTTAGGATAATTATAAGGAATACCAACTCTGTATAAATGAAGAGCATTGACTTTTAGTACTTCTCGAGATGCTAGTCATGATGGTTTTAAAAAGAAATAAAATTGTGTTGCCAATAAAGCAAACATTTTGACCAAGATAATTGATTTCTTTCAAAGTTTAATACAAACCAATAATGTTTAAAAATAAAGAAAATGAAAGTGATTTGAAAATATTAATTGAAAGCAATAAGATAATTTACAACAGGAAGAGAACTTGGTTAGATGATGTAGTCATCATGCAGACACAATGTTTCTTTTAATTCTGCTATTTTTTTATTGGAAGAAACCAGAGTGTTGGGTGTATTTTCATCAAAATAATACATCTCTGATATATATATACAGAATATATGTATATCGATTTGAAAAAAAAAATGAATAAATAATAATACATACCAGTAAGGTGTATTTTATTTTATGAATGGTTACATCAACCTCCATGCTTTCCCACGTTCCTAATTTGGAATGGGGAGGGGTAACATACTATACTGTTTAAATAATATAATGGCATATTGATTATTCAGTCCATATCCTTGCAATACCTGATTTGGAGCTGGGGAATGGAAACAATTCCTGACACCTGAAACAGAATATTTCAGATGTTATTGATTATTCTTGTATATTTTTTCACTGAACTTTGTACACCGGATTTCTTTCACCTGAAGCAAGAAAAGAAGGTAATCAATGCTTATTGAGTTGATGAAAATATTACAGAACACCTTTAAAGATTAACAATGAGAGCATTTCTTCCATACCCATCAGAATATAATGTATTGTATTCATTGGTGCAGAACTGATCACAGGTGAAGTCCTGTGTTTACATGTATACAACACACACAAGTACCAGGAAGATCAGCTATACAATATTGTATATTTACTACTAAGTGCAATGTATTGTTGAAAGAGAAGGGGCAGGAAGCTGCCTATTAATGTTAGTTTTAATGTTAAAAAGTTAATTACATGACCTGATGTTTCGTTTCTATGGATATTGTCTTCATGTCGTATGCCATGTCTGAGGAATAAAGATGTCATTAGGACTATAATTAATGAGTTTATACATGTAGAGTCCATGTTTGCACCTTGCACTCAGTGACCTTTACTAATGTAACTTCTCAATGAGATGACAATGTTCATTATGAATTTAAAATAAAAAGCCTGTTAAAACAACAGCATTGCTTGGTAACTCATGACCATCTTTGTGTTAACAGTAGACTTTGTATTGTGAATGAACGATATGATAATAAATACTGAATGCACAAGCTTGTTTTGAAGAAATGGCAGTGGTCTTTTGAAGCGCACCTTTAGTCTCTGTCTTTTGTTTGTTTCTTGATATGACCTTTGCTTACATGTAATTTGGTTTAGAAATTCGTCTATATTGAGTATTTCATTTGTGTGATCAGCATCGTGTTTAATGAATAGTCAACTATAATATGTAGGTATATGGGATAATCCCATTCATCCAAGGCTTCTTTGATGTGATGGATGAAAAAAAATGGTGTCTGAGGACTTCATGAAATATGTACTTGTCAACTCAAAAGATGTGTAACACTCTTTCAAGAATTAAAAATACCCAACCAATAATGGTGACGGACCAGGCATATAACCTTTGTCTAGAAAACATCTGTATGACTAGTCCATTACATACGAAGGACTGCAATGGAAGAGAATTTGTAGTCTACCATTTGGTATTGTATTTGTGTTAAGTACCATGGTAACATAACAAGTCTAACCAAAATTTTACACCCTCAATAAATCCATTTCTTAAATATCTATATGTAGTTGACAATTAAATCAATCTTCCCTTGCACTTTTGAAGTATTGGAAATTCTGCAGCCTACAATATCATAATTTATTATCAGATGAATATTTCATATGTAACTGTGGTAAATACTAGGTGCAACATGAGGCATCATAAAATATTTGTTACATCCTCGACAAATATTTTTTAAAAGTTTAAAATTCAAAGTGAAACACAATGATGTAGTAGATTTTACATCATCAAATGTTGCGTCCTGACAAACAAAAGAGAAGATAGTTCTACTTTGAATGAAAACAGGATACAGCTGTTTATTTAGAGTTCCTGGATTAAACGGACACCAAAGACTGTTCATTTGGGAATATATTTCTTCTCAAGTACCTTTTATTGTCAAATTCATGAAAAATTACTCTCTATTTAAATTCAGGTATTGCCATGACTATTTGCATCTTTATTTTTAGATCATCAATTACGTTTTGTTTACCAAAAAAAAAAATGGACGTAAATAGGACACCAGTTCGTAAACAAGTTTTTAGGGGTGCAAATAGATGTATTTTTTTTTCTACATTGTGATTGAATAAATTTTAAAATGTTTAAAGCATTTTATCTCTTAACAATTTATTCACCAGTTGCAATTATGGTGTCCAGCATGACATCCAGTTCAGAGGACACCAGTTTGTAAACAAGTTTTTAGGGGTACAAATAGAGAAGGCATTATACGAGGAAGCGAAGCAGAAAGAAAAAATGGATACACCTGTCATACACCAGAAAATTTTAATGTTAAATGTAATGTCATGCAAAGTTGTTTTTCACAGAGTATTGTCTGTGCACATTTCATTATCAAAATAGTAAATCTATTGCAGAATGGAAAGACGTAATTAAGACACTATATTGTGTTTTATGTCCTGTGTGTCCTAGGAACAACTAGCGATATAATACATGTCATGATTTTTATCTACTACCTGTTAAATGGAAAAGGATCTTTTGGGTTTTGTCGTGTTATATATAGCTAAGAATCAAACATATCGGTCACATTTGAGAGTAGTTAATCAGGACATAACAATGGATGCTAAAACGCATCAAACAGTATAGCAAAGCTCGGCTAAAATTGGTCATATTACTGCACAATATTTCATCGCTGTTTGATCTTCAACTGTCATTGAGAAAACTGAGAAAGAATCAGGATCAAACAAAACATTCTAATTAT